AATAGAGCGGGTGTGTTGTCTCCAACTAGAGTCTGGACTATCCCCTACTCACGATCGCCAGGCAAATGATATACCAGCTTCGTGTCAATTCACCAATTCGGTTTTGGATCATGATTTCGATGATTTTGAGCAGCCTTGCCCGTCAAGCAGCTGGCTTTCAAGCGACGAAAACAGTTGCTTCTGCTTTATCCAAGCAGACCACTGGTCTTCACAGTATTGGTGTTCAAAGAAGCCTTCCATACCGCAGAAGTGTCTCTTTGTTCAGTACGGCGGCAGACTTGTCACCAGAGAAGAAGTTGGAACTGGAGTCTCAGATTAAGGCAAAGGGTGACGAAATTCGTGTCCTTAAAGAAGGAGGAGCTGACAAGGCGGCCGTTGCACCATTGGTGGAAGAACTGCTTGCGTTGAAGGGACAACTGGATCCCTCAATCCTGAAGCCCAAAAAGAAGCAAAAGCAACAACAACAACAACAACAGCCAAAAAAGCAAAATCAACAACAAAAGCAACAACAACAAGATGATGCCGAATCGGATTTCATCACCGCTCGTGAAGTAGACTACTCCAAATGGTACAACGATGTGATTAGAGTAACTGGCCTTGCTGAAAATTCTCCTGTCCGCGGTTGTATGGTGATCAAGCCTTGGGGTATGTCGCTTTGGGACAAGGTTCGGACCGAACTCGACGCAAAGATTCAAGAACATGGTGCCGAAAATGCCTACTTTCCATTGCTTATTCCCAAATCTTTCCTCTCCAAGGAAGCTGAACACGTGGATGGCTTTGCCAAGGAGTGTGCTGTTGTCACACACCATCGTCTCACTGCCGGCAAGGATGGCTTGATTGCCGATCCAGAAGCTGAGCTTGAGGATCCTCTCATCATTCGACCCACTTCTGAAACCATGATCTGGTACATGTTCCGAAAGTGGATCAACAGTCACAGGTAAGGTCATGAAGATTTTGAGAAATACCGAGCATCTTTCGTTGATTGTGTTCTAACGTTCCTGTCCCATACAGAGACTTGCCATTGAAGGTGAACCAATGGGCTAATGTGATGCGGTGGGAAATGAGAACTCGCCCATTCCTACGAACCGCGGAATTCCTTTGGCAGGAAGGCCACACTGCCCATGCTACAAGCGAAGGAGCCTTGGACGATGCTAGAACCATGATGGAAACCTATGCCACTCTTTGTGAAGAGCTTCTCGCCATGCCCGTTGTCAGGGGTGTCAAGAGTCCTTCCGAACGATTTGCTGGAGCCGAAGAAACCTTTACTATTGAGGCACTTATGCAAAACGGCTGGGCTCTTCAAAGTGGTACATCGCATTTCCTTGGACAGTCGTTTGGTAAGGCCTTTGATGTCCGATTCCAGGACGCGGATGGCCAGGAAAAGGATGTTTGGGGTACCTCTTGGGGTGTTTCAACTCGTTTGATTGGTGCTTTGATTATGACCCACTCCGATGACAATGGTCTTGTGCTTCCTCCACCAGTTGCTCCCGTCCAAGTCGTGATTGTCCCTATTCCCCCCAAGAAGAATGACGAAGAAGGAAAGATTGCTATGGACAAGGCTTTGGACGATATGGTTGACTCACTCAAGGCCCAAGGCATCCGAGTCAAGGTCGATGATCGTGACTATGTCCGCAATGGAGCCAAGTACTTTGAATGGGAACGCAAGGGTGTTCCACTGCGCATTGAGTTGGGGCCTCGTGACTTGAAGAACAATGTTTGCATTTTCAAGTACCGGGCTGGAGAGGGATCCGATGAGAAATTGACTGTTGATCTGGAATTTGCCGCCAGTACTGCTACCGAAGGCTTGGCTTCGATGCACAAAGGTTTGTTGGAAGCTGCCAAGGCCCGACTTGATGCCGGTATCACTGAAGACGTCCAATACGAGGAGATGAAGACGGCTCTTGAGAACGACGAAGCTTCATCTTATAATGGGAGTGGGTTGTACTTGGTTCCATGGAAGTGCAATGCTGAGAATGAAGACAAAATTAGTGCAGAGTGCAAGGCAACAATAAGATGCTACCCACTTGATGCCAACGAAGCCAAGCTCTACGAAGGCAAGAAATGCTTCTACAGTGGTGAAGATGCCACACACATGGCTCTATTTGGACGGGCCTTTTAGACTAGGAATCCTTCGAATTATAGAGAAGCTTGTTGATGTATCATAATCTATTCTCCTACTGATTCTTCATCCGCCTTCATCTTGGCATACAGCTCTCGACTTTTGACCACAATCAACCGCGGTGACCAAGCATCCATTACCAGTTGTATGCAGTCGATCACTGCTGGTAATAGTCTATTTCCATTGATATCAATTGCTACAACGGTTGGTTTGTGTGCCGACGCATCAAAGTCCTCAAAGACGTCTGCCAACAAGAAATCTCGACTGGGGTATCGTTCTTTGGCAATTCCAATGGATTCTTCCGATTTGTCAATCCCTATTTTGGACTCGCAATGAACGCTGTCCACCAGAATCCCAAAATCACAACCAATTTCCATGAAACTATCACTTTCTAGCGTATGGACAATCGCACTGCGTCGATAATCATTCGTTTCAGAGGCTACCAAAATCAAGTTGGATTGATGTTCCAGAACTGGCATCAAGTTCTTTCGTCGAACTCGATAGGTCGACCCCTTGGGATATTGCACTAGAACCCGATTTTCACTGTCAGGTTCCTCTAATACACGAGCCCGCATGGACAATTGGCTTTTCCTCTTTCCCTTGCTCAAAAGCACCCAAGAAAGCGTCTGAGGCGTCAATTGAGATGGAAAGAACTCGGATTCAATTTTGTCGAAAAATAAATACTGATACGGCGTGGATGCTGGATCATTTGGTTGTGGCAACGGTGCTGCAACTAGCTCATTCTGGTCTGTGTCTGTCATTCTAGTCTTTTAACGAATGAGTGAATCAATGAATATTTGGTTGCTTCAATTTGCTGGTTGTTTCGTTTGTTATATTATTGGCAATCAACGATCATGATTCATTTTCCGTTTGAGAAAAATGAAGGCTGGACGAGCGAAGTACAGACCCCACATCGTTTTTCAGATGACGTCATTTACATTAATGGAACCTTCGACTTTTGAAGTTGGAAGCAAAACCATCATCCTACAGTAGCTAGCCTCCTTTATTACCCGAGCAATTGAAGTAAGACACTTCCATTCAAAGCCCTGAAATGAATCGATTTGGAGATAGAATATCTTGCTTGGTGCTGACAATACTATGTCAATTTGTCATTGGAACTGCTTTCCTGACACCAACCTCCTGCAGAGCTGTGGCTAGCAGTCCCAGTCGACAAGACATGAAGAATGTTCCAACACCATTGGCATCGTCGTCATCGTCGTCATCGTCGTCGTCGTGCTCTGATTTCACTCCCGATGTGGATAAAAATACCGTCTATGTTCGAGGTCTGATGGAAAATCTTTCCACACTATGCGACAAGTACATTGTGACTGGATCAGAGCCAACAAGAAAGAGATTGTTGAACGTATTGGATCGGATATATGCCGAGAGCTTTGATCGCGATTTGGTGCTACAGTCGGTCCGCATGGCCAAGCGAGCGGCAGTTCCCTTCAACGACGAAAAGTACCTTCGGGAGAGAAATACACGCAGCAACGAATACATCATGGAACAAAAGTCATGGAAAAAGACAGACAAAGAATTGGGACGAAACGATGCTGAGGAACGCCGCCAGGAAGCAGCTAGTCGCAAAGAATGGGAATCCCAGCGAACTTCTCAAGTTGGGGATAGTGTTGCGGACAATCTGCAAGGGAGGTCTGCCTTGTCACGACGAGATAATGGATCACAAAAACCGGACCTGTTCATGTCCAATGTGATGAACCCAACCCCTGAAACCATCAATACCATGGCCCAGGAAAAGAAGGAACTTCACGACGAAATGGAAGGCACGAATGGTTCATCGGAGCCACAAGAGGGTCAATCGCTTTCGGTGGAACCGGCAGTCTACGAAAGCGCCGCCAATCGGGTTTCCGAGTTGATTGCCAAAGCAGGAGGTGGATCGCAATTTGAAGGAGAAACCTTGGGCATTGGTGGTCTAGACGATGTATTGGCCCAAGTCAAGCGCCGTGTTTGGATACCATTGGCCGCACCACCAAGTTTGTTGCAAGATTTGGGAATTCACCCCGTCCGAGGTCTCTTGTTGTATGGTCGACCAGGCTGTGGCAAAACGCTCTTGGCACGGACCCTTGGTAACATTTTAAGTCCCATGCGCCCCATTACGGTGGTCAGTGGTCCTGAAATTTTGGACAAGTTTGTTGGATCCAGTGAAAAGAACCTGCGAGAGATTTTTGACAATCCTCCCGATATTTACGACAACTATCGAATTGGTGAAGCTGACGGTGGTCAAGCAATTTCCTCGGCTGCACTTCACGTTGTGGTTATGGATGAATTCGATGCCGTAGCGCGTACGCGAGGTGGAAAAGGAGGAAAGGGGGACCAGGGAGATGCTGGTGTGGCCCGAGATAGTGTGGTGAATCAATTGTTGGCAAAGATGGATGGTGTACACCCTCTGCCAGTACCAACTCTAGTGATTGGATTGACAAACAAGCGAAGTCTAGTGGATACTGGTAAGTGACATTCTTCGAAATGGCAGCCTCCATAGAAGATTGTTCTCATTGTGGCTGTTTCTTTTTTTTCTTTTCAGCTCTGTTACGTCCTGGAAGGTTTGAGGTTCAAGTGGAAGTCCCACCTCCCAAGACTGTGGAGGCACGTGTGAGTATTTTGAAAGTTCACACACAGAACATGAACAGAGCCGGACGTCTTCTAGTTCGCGACCCACCAAAGGGCACAGCAGCCGAAAAGTACTATCATGTAAGTCGAAAAAAACAACTTTGTTTGTGATTAGATGGAGTGCACACAAGTGTTCTCAATAATTTTGCCACTATGCAGGAGCACACGTCTTCGTACATTCTTTCCTACGACGAACTATTGGAAGATATCGCACAACAATGTGAGGGTTATTCGGGTGCGGCTTTAGCTGGTGTGACCCGAGCTGCCGCATCACATGCCCTGGAGCGTGCTGTTGGAGAGATTTCATTGAACGGGGACTCTTCCGCTGGCAACAGCATGATGGACTGCCTTGTCACGCCAGCCGATTTCAAAGAAGCAGTTGCTGATGTGAAAACAAGCATGGGAACCTCCGACTTTTCCGAGGAGAGTGAAGAACAGGGCGAAGAAGAGAAACCAAATGGCGAGGAGAAGACAGAGTAAATTGATATATCAGGTTTGCATCAGGCACACAGTCAACTGTCCAGCCCGGTTTTGCTTTCCAAATTTTTGACAAGCTATTTACAACTACGGTACACAAGGCAACGAATAGAGAAGCAGCATAATACGTAGCAATTACTTTTAACTTCCAACAGCAATGATTGATCATTGCCCCAGGACCTCGTCCAATAGACTCTCGTTTTTCTCTTCCTCGACAATCACAAAATTGCCAGGAGCTAGCAACTTTTCGAGCTTGACGTTCGCATTGTCCAATCGACGTCGCGACGCTTCCAACCGCTGTCTCAAGTCTGTGCTCGAGGACCGACTCTTGCTACTACCATACGCAGGAGGTATGGCACGAGGCAAGACTTCGGCCTTTTCTGGCGTAATGACAGCCGGCGAACGCAATGTCGATGCGACAAGAATCTTGGTGGGAGGACTCTTGGTTGTACTGCTTGAAGCAGTAGCTTCTGGCGTAATGACAGCCGACGAACGCAATGTCGATGCGACGAGAATCTTGGTGGGAGGACTCTTGGTTGTATTGCTGGCAGCAGTAGCTGCAGGAAGAGCGGGCAAAGGCACTGAAGCGGTTTCGTTTTTGATCCCTTCAGGTTCGGTGGGATTAGACGGTTGTTTGATCACCACACGAAGTCTATTAATGTTGGGAGGTGCCCAGGAGGATCCTTGCGAAACGCTGGACTCGACCGGAGACGCAGGAGACTGTGGCAAGGAAACTGGGCGACGTTGAGGAGTCGAGTTCTTGGTGGAAATGGAATCTCCATCGAAGGCTCTCGACTGTTCTCGTGCCGTCACCAGACGATTTCGAGCCACTGCCAGTTCGTTTCGCAAACGGTTCACTTTGACAGTGACCTCGGCTCCCTCTGACTCTTTGGCTTTTGCAGTGGCAGTTTGCACATTGGATTGGGTTGCCTCCATCAACTTTTTTCGCAATTCCATAAGTTCTTGCTCCATCTTGTTCTTGGCAGCTAGAGTTTCCAATTGTTCTTGACGCAGGCGCTCCAATTCCCGGGAGTGACCTGTGCTAAGATCCCGACTCATGCGACGTTCCGCTTCGGATCGCAGCTTTTCTTCTTTCCCCGAACTTTCTGTTTGTCGTAGTTTTGCTTTGAGCGAAGCAATTTCATTGAGCAGAATCTCTTCCTTTACCCCATCGGAAGATTGGCTCTTTTGTAGGCTCGTGACTTTTGCATTAAGAGCTTCAATCTGTTTCTTCAAGGCCGTTTCCCGCATCACCGAGTCCACATCTCCCCTCGTGGGATTCGGTGATTCAAACGCCCTGACCCGTTCCATGCGTTCCTTTAGTCGACGCACACTCTCCTTGTCCACACTAGCCCCTGCTTTCTTGGACGCCTGATCTCGCTCTTCCTTGAGCAAGTTCTTTTGTAGCTCCAATTCCTGTTGCAGCCTCCTCTCGGATGATTCCAGTTGGGCCACTTTTCGTTCCAAAGAGCTAATTTTTTTCAAGTGTGCCGAGGAATCGACTCCATTGTCAGCGAGCAGGGCCTCCAATTCGGAAATCTTGCGCAGATGCGCAATCATTTTTTCATCCTTGGATTGAATTTGTTGTTGCATAGACCTGACCGTTTCCGACTGTTCTCTCATACCATCTTGCATCTTTTTGCGATCACTCAGAGCTTGAGCCTTGACGTCAACGAGTTCATCATCCGAGATCATCAACTTATGCTTGACTTCCTCCAGTTCCTTGGACAAATTGTCGAGATCGTGCTTTGCATTCTTCTTTTCCTGTCCCAACTCCTCCTTGAGTTTAGCAATTTCTTCTCGTGCCGTTTGCAATTGTTTATTGCCCCCAGCTGAATTGAACAATCGCCTGCGAGAACTTTCATTTTCCAACTTGTGTAACGATGACTTGGTCTTGGAGAGTTCCGACCTTAGTTCAAGCTCCACCTTGGAAGCGTCTTGCAATTGATTTTCCAATCGCTTCTTGGTATCATTGGCCTCATATTGCAATAGGAACATTTGTTCTTGCAATTTTTGAAAGTTTTGTTCCTTGTTTTTAATACTTCTCAATTCGTCTTCGGTATCCTGAAGCTTTTGTTTCAAGTCGTCCAATTCCTCAAACGTACGAACCGAAGCATTGTCGTCAATGTTACTGGCATGCGCTTCGGCCAGTTGCGATCTCAACTCGACAATCTCGGCTCGCAGCGAAATCATTTGATTCTTATTGGTTGTACCACCCCTACTTGCTCCATCAAAGCTGGCCGAAAGGGAAGGCAACCCACGCGTAGCAGACCTATCTCGTTCTTGCGCTTGCTGTTGAAGAGTAGCAATTTCTAATTTCAGGTTGGCAATGATTTGTTGCAAGTGATCCGTTTGCGCTGTTTCCTCTTGATGTCTGCCTGCCATTTGTCTGCGTTGCACTTGATTCCCCCGAAAGTTATTTTCTTGGGCCATTCTATGAGCCTGATCGAGCTTGTTGTGTGCTTCGTCCAATTCGGATTGAGTCAATTCCAACTGCCTCTTGAGAGCATCTACAGTGCTGTCCTGTTGTTCCAAGTCCACCAAGGCCTTGGTGAGGCGAGATTCAGAACTGGAAGAATTCTTTCCTTCTTGACCCTGACGAAAGAGTTCCATTCGAGTAGCTCGCAACTCGTGTTTGCCGCCAGCACTACCAGATTGAAATGGACTCTTGTCCACACTTCGAGCAACCCTTGGGGGTGTTAGGCTGCCAGTTCGACCCATGAGCTCGTTCGTGTTCGGAAATCGACGGCGGACAGGAGCTTGGGGTCGATCGACATCCGCGCCATTGTCGTTGGAATAATTGTATCGGGATAAAAGGTTGGCATTCTGTTTCTTTTCCTTGATGAACGGTATACCTCCACCATTCAAATTAACATCCGACTCTTCCTCCTCTCCATCAAACAAAGAATCCTTCTTTTCACCCCAAGGATCAAAGACAGGCTCCTTCTTTTCGTCGAGCAAACTCAAACTACCATCGTGACTTCTATTCCCAGAGCCTGCTAGTAAACTATTGTTGGGTTCGTCCGGATAAGGAGTTGTGGCATTTGGGTTCTGAAAAAAGAGTTCGTCTCCTCCTCGATTTTGCTTCTCACTCTTGCATTCTTGTCGATACGCTTCGGCGGCCGTCATGGCAAAGTCAACTGCCGATTCCTTGACCACGGGACCGTATGTATCCTTCACTTTCTTCACCTTGGCCTTGGCAACGGGAACATACCGTTCCTTGTACTCCAATGTTTGATCAATCGAATTGTCCATGCACATGGCAGCCTTGTTGTTCTCTAGCAATTGAGGAGAGACGCAAGCGACGGCGGCTTTGGAAAAGATTCCCAGTTCTCCATGGGCCCTCCGTCTTGTACCACCTTTGCTTTGAATCGATTCGTCCATGGAAGAGACTGTTTTTTGCAAACTATTTTTCGTGTTGACACTGGACTGCGACGCCGTTGTGGAGTGCGTCCGACGAGGCGACAAGGGTCTCGGTATCGAATGTGTTAGTCCGGTAGGAGAGATCATTCCGGAAAGGAAGCTTTCGGATTTAAAAGAGCCGTCGGGTTGCCTCTACTTCCAATGGAAGGAAAGTCATGAAGGTGCACTTCGATGCGTTGAGTTCAATTTTCACTACCAAAAACAATGTGGTTGGCACGCGCACGCAAAACAGACACGGAACGGACTTCGATCGTGTTCTAGTACTAATTGTACAGATAAGTACGGCAGACTTTTTCTAAATATGGAAGAGAAGGGTGGCTGGCGGGTCGGAGGGTTCAAATGGTTAGGTTCATTTGAACATGGATTGGACATTTACTAGCCAATGAAAATGCGTCAGTCTTGTTATTTGAAATGAGTTGAAGGATATGGGGAGAGAAGGAGAAGAAGGGAGAATGATATCACCAAATGAATGGAATGACTGATGCGCTTGCAAACTTGAAATCAAAACGTGGATTGGAATGAAAAATGAAGATAGCATAGTCATGAAACGACAGTATGCTACATATCCTGCGAGGAGATCCATATGCAGCCTCGCGGTTTTGGAATTTGAGGGCACCAAACAAGAGATTTTCCGCCCACAAACAAGTGCACAGTTTCCATCGATTACAATTCGGATAAGATGTAAACCACAGTCGAGAAAGGCATACTGAGATTTTGCCATACAGGATTTTCATCACCAAAATATTGTATGAGGCTTTGATAGGACTTGCTTTGACGTGGAGGATGTCAATTTAAAGATTTGATGAGAATCGTTCAAGAACTGAATTGCCATTCATTCGATGCCAAGCTATTTACGATCATGACAAGGAAGGATCCGACAAAAACACGGAGGGCGGAGGTGATAAGTGCCATCCAAAATCTTTTGGATCTATCAATCATGATGTCAGGTTGGGTTGAACCTTTTGATAATATCGATCGTGTGATCAGCGTTGTTGGTAAGTCTTCTAAGAGAAAGGCAGAAGAGACGCAAATATCTTTGCAATCGTGAAACATGGTGTCAGTTTTTGGCTGAATGCAGCCAATGAATGAATCATTGTCGTCTGTCATGAATCTGTTGAATCAATCCTACAATCGACAGGATTCAACCAAAGTTGGCAGATGTGAGAACCCCAAAGTAAAATCAGAAAGACCAACGCGCTTTTGGAGAGCGATAAAGCGAAACAACAATGCACCAACAACAACAGCTCTAGCAAACCAACAATAAAAATTTGTCGGGACTTGTCTAAGCCGAAATTATCTGTAGGTTTGCATTTTCACTTCTTTACTTCTAGGTTGTCAATTGCTTCCTCGTTTACGATGGGAGGTTGAACTGGCAAGAAGGGTTGTCGATGACAGATAGGTTCGCTTTCAGCGCTACCGGTATAGGGCAGCATCATGTCAGGGGTCTTCTCACTCTGATGAGAGAAGTACAGCGTACAGCATACGTAGACGTGTACCTACGTTGATGCTTCGGCAGATTTTTTGGGTGGTTCTCAACCTTGACGCCGCGTTTTCCACCACACATATCGAGGAGGCTTTGTTTTCTATTAATAATTTGTGATATAAGCATTTTTTTAAAAATGTTATGGCAGATGTTGGTGGTATTACGCGTGTGAAAATGCAAGGGTTGTTGCGAGTGCTGCGGAATAATTGAAGTACATTGCTACGGAATTGATGATCGCAATCAAATGTCCACTGATCATTGGCGTATTTTCATTTTCCCTTTTTGGTGAATACCACAGGCATTTATGGCGCTTGGTGTCAGTCTTGACACCGTGACGCGTAGAAAAGTACTGCATAAAATTCAAAGCTCTGATGCTGCGACATAAAAAATGAGGGGATATGTCACCAAAGCTCCCGATCCAACGAGGGAAACATCAACTCTGCGGATCCCACGTAATCTCTCACGTAATATACGCCGATCAGGATTGATGTCAACGTGATACCTGGTTTAGTCATTGGTAACCTCAAAGCCTCATAAAATCAAATTTGGATCTTCTGCAAAAGCATAACAAAACAAACAATCAAATGTGTAAGACTCCTGATATCCCAGTTCAAGAAGACGTCTCGACCGTCGACAAGGACTGGACTGACAAAGACATTAAACCTTCCGAGCGCAAGGCTCGTGATCGCATCTTGCCTAATGGTGTCGTCCTCAAACTGATGAAGAGATCTGACTGGCTTGGAACCAAACGTTTCCTTTCCAACATGTCCTTTATGTGCTTGACAGCATATGCGATTTATCGCACCGGCATGCATTCCGAATTTGCGGAAGTGGAGAACTTGCGACAACTTTTGTCGGTACTCTCTTCGCCTAAGATGCTAACCTTTGGTCCACTCTACTTCTTCTATGGATTCCAAATGCAATGCATGGGCTTTGCGGGAGGACACGAGTTGCTCCATGGAAATGCCTTCAAGACAAAGTGGCTCAATACCGTTGTAACCTTCTTCGTCAGTACTGCTTTCTTTGAAGTCCTTTGGCACGAAAAGATCAACCACAAGCAACACCACATCTACACCCTCGATATTGATCGAGACCCCGAACTTACAAGCTTTTTCTCTCGAAAGGAGCTCGAGAATCCCAACTTCAAGAGTGCTTCAACTTCTCGATACAATTACTTCAGAGGTTTCTGGAACGTCTTCAGCCACCTCTATCACCGCATGTGCCGCCTTGTGAGTTCTTCGATGGGAATTCTCACGGACTATACAGGAATTTGGTGGAGCATGAAGAGCCCCACCCCCGAGGAATTCTCCAGCTCTGTCGTGTCTGAGCTGCAATTCTTCTCGATTCTCCAATTGGCAGTTTACGTTACTATTTTCAGCACCTATGGCAACAATCTTGACAATTTCAAGACATTATGCTTCTGGTGGACTGCTCCTTGTGTCATTGGTTACGCTCCCATCAACTTCATCCGCAACGCTGAGCACTCTGATTGTGACCGCGTGACCAACCAACTTCATGCTACGAGAACCGTAGAGTCCACCTTCTTCCTCCGGTGGCTACTTTGGGAAACCAATTTCCACGCTGAGCACCATGCTTATCCTATGGTTCCCTTTTTTAACTTGCCAGTTCTTCATGACCTCCTTGATGATCACATTAAGCACAATGAAATCAAGTCCTTCACCCTTCAAAACTGGGCTATGATTCGCCCCGGAGGCTGGATCGATGTACAGAATTCATAAATGATGTATGAATAAGCCTACCGGTACATAGCTAGCGGAACATACATTTTAAGACGTCTTGCGTCGACTACCTCTTGTACATTTTACTATGATTCTAGCAAAAGTCTGGCAGCTTCTTTGGCAGCTCCGACGTATACTGTCCATCCACTTCCTCCATAACCGTAAGAGTGAACTATTTGCATATCCTCATTCGAAAATTTCGCGTCTACTTCAAGACGGCTGGTAGGTCGAAAAGGCCGAAATCCAGTCCATTCGCCTACTGGAGAAGATTTCTCTGTATCTATTCCCATCAGTCTAGCGTTTTCCAAAAGCCTTAAGCGTTCATGATCTCTAATATCCTGTTCGGTGTCCCCTTCTAAGTAGCTACCACCAACAACAACCGTGTTCCCTCTCGTAATCATGTAACAAGGCATTTCTTCCGACCCCCACGGACCTTCTTCAACCATGATGTTGGTATCCTTGCCATCTTCTCGGAATGCAATATCCTCTGTTCGGACGCAGTCTTGTCGATCGTATTGAAGCAAAATACCGCGAGCTCCAACCATTTCTTGGTCGTTGCACAGCTTCCTGGCTCCGAGTCCAGTGCAATTTACAACGGCATCGCATCCCAAACTCTTGGCATCATCCACTATTTCTTCCAAGCTCTCGTATTCCATGCCTGTCTCCACGTTCACATCGGCGCCTTTGGATTCCACTTCTTTAAGCATGGTCTCTAACATTTTGGGGCAATCGACAATTGGAGGATTAAAGAGCCACGCATAGCTGTATCCAGCGGCAAGGATATCCTGTTCTGGGGGAATTTTCAAACGATTGATGTAATTTTGCCAATACAGCATTTCAGTTGTCATGTGTTGGAATTGGAGACGAGCATCAGTTGACCATGCCGGCAGCTGACTAGCACCTCCAGTTCCAGATGCATAATCATTCCTTGTGAAATCTAGAGTGGTTGGACCATGATTATTGCGATGCAACGCAAGTGTGGGCACGAGCTCCACCAGTGACTTCGAATCATCTTTTCCAATCGGATACAACTCATCGAGTGTTTCTTTGGCCCATCGGTCCGTTCGAGGATCATCACAATGAAACGGCATCCATAATCCCCCGGCGCCTTGCCTGTAAGAGGAAGAAAAGGAGCAAATATGAGTACAACCAGTGCTAAAAGTGTTTTATGTATTTTAACGATCACTCACGAACAAACTGATGTGTCGATGGGACTACGAGGAGATCGAAGGATCACGGAAACCTTTTTCCGCAACAGTTCCAGCGATGTTCGGAGGCCAATAGCCCCGGAGCCAACAACCAATACCTTGGATGCAGGCATCGTGAGAGGAATATTTTATGAGATGATGAATGATGCGTATTAAAATACCACAAAACGATGATGATTCAGCATCTGTTCCTTTTTTTAGGGGAATTCTGCCTAATTATATGACCCGAAATACCCATCCGAGTCCACCAAATTTGAAAGCAGAAAAAGGAAAACGCACAAGACAAAGCAGGATGAAGGAGCCAGTGAAGGCTGGTCACTATTCTGACTGCGTGCCAACCAAACTTGGATAGTCCACATATACTGCTGCTTTTGATTTGAAAACGTAGCTCGAGTTCTTACTTCTTCAACAATTTGCAGGCCGTTCGTACCAACAAATCCACAGTTTCGGAGTCCCCAAGCTCTTCTCGGAGCATGACTGTCAGTAGTGTGATACCAGGTGCCAAAAACGATTCCATCGTCATTTCTAGCATTCCCATTTTGTTCAGGCTATCCTTCATTTGTTCGGACAATCCCAAATCCTCGCACAAGCCTGAGACCAACAATACATTTGAAGATTCATCTTCATTGTCGCTGGTAGCTTTCTCTTCAAATCCGGTATTGATTTTGCTGTCGTCGTCCTTTTTCGCAAATACGATGTCCGTTCGCAACACATACTTTGTCCCTTTGTACAGGGGAGCTCCAGAATGGTACAGATCATGTTCGAAAATAACAACCTTTCCTGTCTCTGGTGTGACCTTGACAATGCCAGCTGTCGACTTTTCTAGGGTTGATTCAATTTGCTGCTTTGAGGAAATATGCGAATCGAGGTACAGCGTTTCACCGCCTTCAAAATCAACACCTCCACCATCGTTTAAATACAGGAGTACTGTCAACAGAGACTGCTTGGTCGTTCCTACCATGGTTGTCGCGTCGAAATGAGGCTCGAATCTATCATTGTCCTTGAAATCATATCGTAGCACTCGTATTCTGGGGTTTAAGCCCAACGCTGGACCACATTGCTCGCGCTCTATAAAGTCCTCGATCAAAGGATGGACAAAAGTATTGAGCTTGCTCCACATTCTCGAAATGGTGGGCGGATGATCAAAGACGGAAAGCTTGTGTGGATTGGGATTATGTATCTTCACCGGGTATGGTGTCCCGTCGGGCGAAATGTGCGATGCCTCTGTAATGTATCGAAAGCCTGTTTCGGTGGCCGTCGACGCCCGTTGGACAATCTGGTCGCACTCCGCTTTGGAAAAGAAATTGTTGATGGAAAGAGCCAAACATTTTTCGGGTGGGTAAAGATACCGGGAACACCGAGCTGGTAATGGGATGATTTGATGGCGATATTTGCTCGAAGCCTTGTTGGTGGCAGTTGACGATTCCTCCATTATTTCTTCTTCATCTTTTATTTCGTCTCCAATTGGCATGCCTCCAGACAAGCCAAGCATGTCGAGAAATGCCTCTTGTGTGTCTGCTGAAGAATCATCATTGTTTTCCTTGTAGCCGAATGTACTATCAGTTGGAGATATGTCGCAGTCTAGTTGAGCCATCGCACAAGTCCTGATCGTTTTCTTGTCTGGTGTTGGTTGTGTTTTCAGTTTTGGTTTGGGATTGACGAGCGACGCGCAACTTTCGCGCGGAATGCATGATGAAAAATGCCACCACCTTGGGAACTGAAATTTGGATGGTTTTCTACTTTTTTTAAAGCTGTCTCTTATTGCTTCTTTTGTTTCCGCTTTGCCATTGCTTCTTGTGCTCGTTTTCTCAGCATCTCCATTTTCTCTGCCTTTCTTCTGGCTTCTGCCGCTGCGGCTTCTGCTTCTTTTTCGGCTGCTTCAGCCTCTGCCTGGATCTTGGAGAAATCCAATGCCTCGTCGTCGTCGTCGTCGTCGTTGTCATCATCGTCACTACCAGTTTCAGCCTCATCGTCCGTCGTTGGAGCGTAGGAAATTTGTGGGCCGCATTCAAAATCTTCCACGACAATGTCGATGTCAAACATGTTCTTCCCCTTGCGAAACCTTCGACTCGGTACCATATTCAATTTTCCCACTGTAAAAGTTCCCTCAACAACGACTTCCAAGCCATCCAAGGGATCCAATGGTGGGGGTTCAATCATTCCACTGGATTCCGTAACGTCAAAAATGTCTTGGGGCTCCTTGAAAATCTCAATCCCCATTTCGTCCATCTTTTTGCGAATGCTATCTGCCCTTCTCACCATAGCTAGCCCCACAATGGTGGGATCACCTGTCCCTGCTGCTTCGGCTACAGACGTCAACGTGCCTACTAGCAGCTCTTCGTTGCTACCTAGTGCATACAAGGTTTGTCCAACTCTGGGAGGGTGAGTCAAATTTTCAATTCCCGACCTGTCACCACGCGATTGGGTTTCCCACAAATTGGTACTGTCCTCAAAAATGACTGAGTACAAAGTACGTGGAGGCCCACGGGGATTCTTGAGAATTGAAGCAATGCCTTCTTGACCCAGATAGCATCCCTTTTCCAAATTGATAGTATTCTCCCAATGTAATTCCAATGGACTGGCCTTGACTTCTTTCGAGCCGATTTCTTGGCCATAGGCGGGCATACCCGCTTCAATGCGCAAGGTTTCATATTCCAATCCACCAATGCCAATGGGTCCGTCCGGATTGTCGTCTCCAATTAATGTAGCCCACTCTTTGGATATCAAATCTTTGGCGCCATTTCCATGAAAGATCATTGTGTATCCCACAGCAGCAACGGGAGGAAGTCCAACTGATGGAAGTACCACCACAGAAATATCGTCGTTGTAGGTCCAAGTGACTGCCTCGTCCGATAGAGTTGGAAACGAAAAGCTTCCATCCTTTGGCAAAAACTGTTCCATCAGTACTTTCTGAACGTGTTCTCGTTGGACACTGGCCAAGGTCATGAGAAAGCAATCCTGCACATTCTCCAATGTAATCTCATCGAGTGGAAACACAAAGGGATCCAATCTTTTGAGCAAATCTTCACTTGTGTGCCCTGGTGAAGTCAGGACATAGGCCGTTTCATCGTCCACCAAGGCAACCCGCAATCGATCCACCACGCGTCCTTTGGGATCCAAGAAACAAGCTTCTTGATAGGATGATGAGGCTGTTTCGGCACTGAAACTCTGTGTCAATTTGTTGTTGAGAAAGGTTCGTGTCCCCTTGCCTCGAATCTTGAGCGCGCCTCCTGGTGACAACGTTGCTTCGGTCGACAAATCCCATCCAACGCAGCGTCCACTCCGAATCGCACTCCGAACTGCTTCTCCCCGCATTCCAGCGGGTGTTCCTGGTGGATAGACGGATGATAGTGGAGTAGTGAAGATGCCTTCGTCAGGAGATATCTCGGGATTGGGTGAAACATACTCAAAATCAAAGTCACTGGGTTGGGGAGAGGAAGAAGAAAGGAGTGTCTGTCTTGAAACGGAACCACATGACTGAGCAGTAAAGGCAGAAGCTGTTGAAGCAATAGACAGGAGTAGAAAGGAGGCTGCAATCTTCTCCATAATGTACAGTATTGTACCTGGTAATATCAAGGTCGTGTTCCTTTCTCTTTCAGTAAGGCGTATGTTCATGTATGTACATGTGTGAGTTGAGTGTTGAGTGATGGATGCAGATTCATTCGATTCGATTTGTGAAGACGCTGACGTCAGCAAGGACAAAACAAAAAATGAACCACGATGCATGTTCTTATCAAAATTGATGCTTGATACCTGCTTCTATTATTATTGTACACCAGCACAACTGTAAAAATCGTTCATAAACGGAACTAAAGAGTAGAAGAATAGCTACGATGAAATCAACCCTTCTGCTGCTGTCGATCTCCACAATTGGAAGCTGGGCATTCTCCACAACGAATTCACACGACAGAACACAGCAGAGCCATCCACTAGGAACCTGTTTAAAAGGTTCCCCAGACGAAACCGAATGGACCAGTGACTTTGATGACTTTATTCCCGGCTCAAATCCGAATAGTGATGGCGATGACAGCAGCAGTGGCAGTGCTCCCGCCATTGCCAGTATCTTTCAACGAAGAGGCAATCGTGACTGGTCCGGCATTCAGTCGCGACAATTTTCCTTGGGGGAAGACTTGGTGTTGGCTGACTTTGTGGGTAAGATGGGGTTTGATGAAGTGACGGACTGGGAATACTATTACGAAAACGAAGAAGATCCCAGCGATCGAAAGGTGGTTCAACCGAATCCATTTGACGATTCGAAACCAAAACGAACGCGCAAGAGTAGCGGTTCTGTGGTGAGTCAAAAAACTGAAGCTGGAAAGGACGCAGTGCAACATTGATGGCACATCTCATAACTTTTAAAATTTCTTCAGGTCCGCGTCTTTCGTGGAGAATTTGTGGGGAGATTAGGTGGAACTTTGAGATCCATGGGACTCGATAATCGAGTCCTGGTCAAGGAGTTCACTGGGGAGATGGCACTGCAACTAGCGCGGTACGAAATGCTGTCGGTTGGTAAATTGCAATCGGAACTCTTGGCAGACAACGAGGATGCAGCCGACGGCTTGTGGATCCAAATGGCCAGTTCTCGGACCGCGACGGCCCGCAACGATGACAGCAATGTTTGTGAATTAGTCAAACGACTCTCGAAATCTAAATCAGCACCTTTCCTTGGCATTCTAGGGGAGGTGAATCTGGCAGAATTGGAAGACGACTGGGATCCGAATGAATTCTATCGGGCGTTGAGTGTTCCACCGCCCAAGGAAGGTGCCATTTGGATTGTTTACGAATATGCTGGATTGAATACATGCGCGACCTATTCAGAACCGGCCCAGTTGAGAAGATCGAGGATTCCACCCAAAAAGACCTTCTTTGGAGTTAAGGAAGCGCCACCACTTCCTGAATGGAGGAAACGAGCGGACTATGTGGTCAAAGGAATCATGAAGGGAGCCATTGAAGCGGTGGCAGAATTGCATGATAGTGGAATTGCCCACCGCAGTATTGGAAGAAGCAGTGTCATTTTGACAAGTCGGACACAAGACAAGGCCGAACCATCCTCGGTTTATGCCACGGATACCACTTTCTTGTCGATTAAATTGTCTGACTTTGGATTTTCGGGCCTCTTGGAAGAGTCGACGTACGACGACGAATTCCTGATGCGGGCGCGATCCTTTGGATTTTCCTTTCGCAAAGGCGACAATTCTCTAGCAGCCACCAATTTTGCCATGGCGGAAGATCTTCATGCCCTCGGATTTGTATTTTTGGGTCTGATCCTGTCTTCTTTGGCGGAGCTGCCTCGGCTTGACTCTCCTATGCCAGCTACCGATGAAGATACCTTGCAACGACTACTGGGTGAGATTTTTGACAAGGACATTGAACAATTCCGAGAGTATGTCGAAGCCGAAGAAGTTTGGAAGAGCCTGGTAGACTACCTCGATGAAAACGATGGAGCTGGCTGGACCGTACTCGAGACCCTCTTCAAAGCAAGGGAGAAGGCAGCAGAGAACAAGAACTCACTGTCAGTTATCACAGCACGAGGACTGCTTTCGAATCCATTCTTTCAGTAGAACAACCTGTAACACTAGCTTTGCTTTTTAAAAAAACTGTAATCTTATGATAATAATTGAATTTGCAGGTCATCTGTCGATGAAATCAAGAAGTTGTATTGAATAAAATACTCCTGAAAGCTGATGCTAGTCCTTACTTTGCCTCCTCCCCTGGAGGCTCCCAATGCAAGCAATCGGGTTTGCACAGCCGGAGTTTCTTCTTTTGTTTCTTCATGTAATCGTTGATCGTTTCTTGACTGACAAAGACGACGTGTTGTCCCTTCCAAAACTTGATCATATCCAAATGTTGCAGGGTCGAGATAATATCTTCGGTCTTGATTCCAGTTTGCATGGAAATGTCCTTGATAGAAATGTCTTCGGCTGGATCGTGTTTGGCAAGCAAGTGCAACAAGACGTAGGTCCAATAGCTACGGTACGAAATCTTGCCCAGATCCGAGAGCGGCTTTTCGGGTGATCCAGTCTTTTTCTCTCGTTTGGAGAGTTCGTATGATAAGGAAATGATGAATTTGCCGTAACCTTCCTTTTGGTATTGCGGAAAGGTTAATATGCAAGCAAGATTGTATTCTTCGGCTGATACCTGAAAATAGAATCAAGGGTGAACCGAAAGTGAGATGGATGGGCCTGTGGTGAACTTTCGACTTCGTTGCAAGACTTACCTTCTCTTTGGAGAAGTATCCGACAATGTGAGCTCCATGATCATCCACGTGACAAATGATATAAAAGTAGAATGGATCCACATCATAATACAGAGTCTTGTGGTCGAGGAATAGTTTGGCCAACAAACATAGATTTTGACAGTACACTCGATGTTTTTTCCCGTCCACTTCATACACACTCAAACCGTATTCTCGATAAATTTCCCGCCCCGGAGGATGCCGGTGGGGGCACTCAGCTTTATGTTTGAGGAAGGTCTTCTTCTTCTTCATGTACTTCAAGGTAAATTCACATACATACAAGAGCTTGGCTTCACTATACTCCTCTGGATACGGCGAAAAGTACCAACACTCGACTTCCCAACCTCCCATGAAAATCTTTTCAATATTTTTGACCTTGGTGGTCTCCTCGTGTTCCTTTTCCAAGGCGGCAAACGTTGGATCGCCAGAGCCGCCTCGCCAATTGCCTCCCGACAAGATGGCTGTTGCATCTCCTGGAGAGTTCCCATGAGAATTGGCTGCCGCATATGGTGATGTGCTCCGACGCCGAAGCCTCCGCGAGTCATCGCCCAAGTCATCTATTTCTTTAGGAGCCCGTGTCAGTGTCTCCAAGAGGAATTTATCAATGGTCACCCACTCGTCCAGCCGTCTAAAGAAAGAATGGAAGGCAAAGATATGATTAGCATACGGATGCACATTACGATGACACTATGGATCTGAACCAACACAGCCGAAAAAAGAACCTACCGATCTTGCTTTTCATAATGGATATAATATTCAATTTCATCCGCCTTGAGACCTTTGACTGACATTTGCCCCTTGCGCTTTTGTTTACGCTTTATTTGCATGTAATTCAGCGGCCGCCGTTCAATAATTCTGGTTCTTAGGATGTGATTCCCATCCCTCCATCGAGCGTCACATTGGTCGTCAATATCCAGCGGTGGATCGGGTAACGGAACTGATTTTTGATTGCCAGAGGCTGACTCTCCACCGGCGGCAGATGTGGAGGGAGTTTCGGCCTGAGGGGCCCCTTTTCGCTTCTTATCTTCACTATTCGTCGTCATTCCGGACTATTGTTGACCACTTGAACGAATTCGTGCAGCCCGATTACTTCCAGGGGGTATTAAACTCCAAGTAAGACTACTTTCAAGCCTACAAATGCGAACAGGATCTGCAGCACCCCCACGACAAGGGTCTTGGTTGCTTGCCATCCGTTGAACTTCGAAGCTCTTCCAATATCATTCATGTTTGTACGTCGACCGATGCGAATGTTCGTCTTAGTCGAAGAGGGATCTCATTTTTTGAGAACAATGCAAAACCTTTTAGTATTACTAACGCACACACATACTACCGCTGTATCCAAAAAAGCGAAAGTATAATAACACGCATTAATACAGTAGGCATTGTATCCGTGAATCTTGGGCTCGAGTAGCAGTACAAGTGGAGTTGACAATGTGTTTTGGTTACTGAAAGCGAAGATAGTATGGCATTTCGACGAGCTTTTTACAACACATGGTCGAAGAGTTATTGCATGTCTGATTCAACAATACCGGTACCTACTGTAGAACTATTACAAACGACCGAATAAAAGCGACGAAAAAACCCGAGTCCTACAGTATGGAGCAACCTTAAAATGATGTATCATCAAATCTCTCGACAAGCCCATTTGGATAAAACTCCTTCAAAAATCTAAATGGCACACGAGTAGCCAATTTAGAGTTGTCCGGAAGCCTCAACCTTGACAGCTGAGCGAGTCTTTCCACTGGAGGATCCAACCTTCTCAATGGCACGAATAACATCCATACCCTCAACGATGGATCCAAAGACAACGTGCTTGCCATCCAACCAGGAGGTGACCTCGGTACAGATCTAAAGTTAAAGAAAGCAACGTACAAAGCAACAGTTAGCAAGAGAAATGTCACAAGTGAAAACCAAAAGGCCAGCAAAATGGTAACGTACGAAGAATTGGGATCCGTTTGTGTTGGGACCTGTAGTATACAAATACGTTGAAAATGGTGAGTATTCCATGGAATAGTATAATAATAAAGCCACGTAGTTGAACAATGATCGTCGATCTGATATCACTTACCGGCGTTGGCCATGGAGAGAATTCCAGGACCAGTGTGGGTCAGCTGGAAGTTCTCATCAGCAAACTTGTGTCCGTAGATGGACTTTCCACCGGTACCATTGTGGTTGGTGAAGTCTCCTCCCTAAATAACCAAAGAAACAAACAAATCACAGAAAGTCAGAATCCATCGTCACATGTTCATATATTCAGACTTCTTCTTCTTACTTGGCACATGAATCCAGGAATGACACGGTGGAAGGAAGATCCAGCGAATCCGAATCCCTTCTCTCCAGTACAGAGAGCACGGAAGTTCTCGGCAGTCTTGGGGCTGTGAGTGAGAAGAAAAACGAGGATTGGCATGAGAAATGACATTCAAAAAATCAGACTGACGTCCAAAGATCACGCCGCACTTCCAGCACATGAATCCTCCAACATCCAATTCCGGAGGTAATCATCATCTCCATCCTCCACTCCAACGCATCTCAGCACCTTTCACACCCACACAAGTCACCGGATGGGAACCATTGGATCTTTCGACACGACTTGAGGGCTCATTACAACTTACACAACATCGGCACGAAGCTCCATGGTGACGCGACCAGCGGCCTTTCCACCGATGGACATATCAAAGAAAACCTTGGGGTTGGACATTGTGTTTAGTTTCTAGTTTTGTATTAGGTAAAAAGAGGTTAACAAGTAGACTTGGTTGTCAATTGTGTGCCATTGAAATCATCTTCGTCTTCTTATCTTCTCGATGTCTTCCGGAGCGAAAATTTTCGCACATTTTCGTCTGGTCGTACACCTTTATTAGCTTTCTACAGTAATGAAGATATAAATGTACAGGATCCATTGGATCGAATGGACGTACGTAGCAGCAGTACTGTACTTTCGCAGGATCTTTTGTGTCGTTGGGCGGCAGGCAGGTGTCGTGTCTGTGAATGACGGCGGTTCCCGTATTCCCTCTCACTCTCAAACCATCTGCATCATATCGTGCCTGTACTGTACCGGTAGCACAAACTTGAACAGGTCTTGTCCTAACGCAAACGAATCGATACTATACCATGAGTGAAGAAGCCAACAAGAAAGCCAAGACTGCCCTTCCTCAAGCGCCTGATGAAGAATGGCCCGAGGCTTGGATGATGTGCGATGACGACAAGATTGAAGATCAAAAGAAAGAAAATCGTCAAGATCCTAATGCCAAGATCACTGCTGCTGACATGCGCAAGCTTGGAATCAGCTTCTGGAAGATGGATGCTGATACCTTCACTTATCCCGTCAAGGCCGTCCCGTGGGACCCAAAGGATGCTGTCGATCCACGCTTGTCCCAACTTCGTGACGATCGTGGCTACTCTTATGCCGATATCATCACCATCCATCCAGACCACTTGCCCGGTTTTGATGCCAAAATCAAGGCTTTCTTTGAAGAGCATATTCACGATGCCGAAGAAATCCGTTACATTCTTGACGGATCCGGCTATTTTGATGTTCGTGACCCCAATGACAAGTGGGTTCGGGTCCACATCAAGAAGGGAGACTTGATGACTCTTCCTGAGGGAATCTACCATCGTTTTACTTGTGACGAGACCGATTACATCAAGGCCATGCGTCTCTTCAAGGGGCAACCAGTATGGACTCCATTTAATCGTCCGCAAGAAGAGCATCCTTCTCGTAAGGCTTATGTCACTGAGTTCATGGAAGAGAAGAAGACTGACGAGTAAATAATTGTACAAATTATAAATTATAATATGTTTTAGGACTAGGATATATAATGTCATAAAAGAATATTGTTTGAGCATGGCTAAATGCTAATGAGATGGGTGTGTTGCCTTCTCATTGGCAGGTAGGAGCTATTGACATCAGCTATCAATCTGTCCAAAGGATCGGATTGATCAATTTTCAGATCGTTGTTGACATTCGCTAATGACGTCACAAGCATCCTACACCTTGGAACTACTCGTATGAATCAAAATGGATCAATCATCACCACGATTTCGACTATTGTACCTGCATCTCCAGACAACAGTCAACACTCGCTTGTCCCCAGAATCTCTCTGACTTATCACTCATCAAACTTCGTTGACCCTCAAACTGCATCAAGCGTTGAATCATTATACAATCTAGAATGCGGTCGTCGTTGGTTCTACTATTGTCTCTCTGTGGAATGGCATCATCCTTTCAATCATTCAATCCCATGCAAGGTCCTAGATCTGACATTGTTGTCATGGAGGCGCATCCTAAATCGATGGAAAAATGGGGCAAGGCGGCAGTCGCTGTCTTAGCAACGGCAGTCGTTCTGAGTACAGCCACTCCTTCCTTTGCCGATGAATATGGACGTGAGACTGAAACCGATACCTTGTTCACTGGAGAAACTACCATGGTAAGACGAAGACGACGACTCGTCACTTTTTCGAACACGTCTAGCTCGAAATGTGCTTCTGTTGGAAATGCTGTGCTTTCTGCGTTTTTCAATCTCATGCATGCACTCCTGTCATTATATCTCAGATTTGCACCAAACGTGGGCCATTGGGTGCATGCTTGAAAACCGTCCAACGTACGTCTAGTAATGACAATGACAAATCCGATAAGTACTTTCAGACTCCTACCGAAATGATCAAGCGTAAGGATTTGCAAGCACAAATGGATTCCGAGAATGAAGGAAACGAATTGATTCAAAAGCTCAGATTGCAAACAGAAGCTAATCGGGAAAAGAATGAGCTGGCCGTCCAACAAAGAACTCTGTTGAATGATGCCGTAAGTACAAACGCAATCGCTTGGAACGATCTGTATTGATGTATCTAATGATTGTTCTGATGGCTGATACCCACTTGTGTTCATCTCGTTGTTGTTGTTTTAAAATTATACCAGTCCGCCAGCTTTGGTCCCTTTGACGGCCAAGTGGTGATTCTCAATGAAAATGGTAATGGATTTACTTTGTTGTCAAACCCTCAAGCTATGAGATTGAAAAGTGCTGGTTTCATCAAGGACAAAAAGTTCATCAAACAACCGACACAAGAAGAGCTTGACAAAGCCTTGGAAAGTGGGCCAAATATCTTCCAAAAGGCCTTTGGCGGAGGTGGTGGTGGTGACGAGTAGACAGTAAATGAGACCTACTAACACTATAATAGACCGTAAGATGACACGAATGAGTAGAATGGCAATAAGTTTCCTCTACAGTACCTTCGTTTCTTCGAGGCCCATACTGTACCGGTAGTCCGAGCCCTTTCTCAGAGCTCAGACGGATCATTTGTCTGGACGGCGTCCGTCAACCGAAACCAAACATCCATCGTTCGACTACCGGTACCTGGTACCCTGTTGTGGCTGCCAAACAGTACCGGTACATCGACACTACTTCATTTCACAACCGTTACAATAACCATGCAAGCTCTTGCAACGACTGCTAGCCGACGTCTTGCTCCAATGGCCCTTCGACAAACTGGGGGAGCTGCCATCTGCCGCCATTTTTCGTCGGAACCTTTGTCTTTGGAAGACATGCCCTATTTGCACCATGGAGAACGTCCACGAAATCGCACAAACCCAAAGTTCAAGTCTCCTCGCAAGAAAGCGTCTAAACTCTTTGAGGAACTTAACAAGGAAGCCGTCGAAAAGTCGAAAGAGGCAAACCCGGCCATTTGGAAAGAAGATTTCGGCGTAGGGGACTCGATTGAAATTCAAATGGTTTCCCAAGGAGGAGTTGATGGTAGCTTGGTTTCTGGAGAAAAGACACAAGAGATGGAGAAAGTTCGAGGTGTTGTACTGGGAATAGTAAACCGTGGGTTGAGCTCTTCTGTCATCTTACGAGATGTTGTGTACGGCGAGCCCATTGAGAGAAAGATTCCCATGCATTCTCCCATGATCAAGGATGTCACGGTATTGGAACGCAACTTCATCTTCAAGGGAAAGAAGAAGGTGAAGAGATCAAAGCTATACTATTTCCGCGACTTGAATCCTTTGTGTAAGTTCCTTCTGATCTGTTTTGTTTTGCCTGTGGATTTATGTCACTAATCTTTATCACTCCACTTCCTAATGATGCTTGCAGTAACCAAGGTATCGAAATACTAAATCATAATTAAAAATGCATTGCAACACGAATAACTTCTTTTTATACAATAATATTCTAAATTAGCATATGTAAATGCTTGCTTGGGACTGCGAGAGTAGCATTCGGTCCTCTAAGCTGCAACCTTTTCTTCAGCTGGCTTCTTTTCCACCTCAACCTCGGCCTCCTCCACGCGCTCTTCCAATACGAGAGTCTCCAGTGGCTGTTGTTCCAATGGAAGAGTCTTTATAAAGGCCTCTCGCACGGCAGCTGATAACTCGTCCTCCGTCTTGCCCTTTGCATCAATTGGATCATGCACATGAACATGCAGCTTGCCAGCTCCAGCTTGGAAAGGAAATAGAGCATTTGAGGGCATGATAGCATGGGTGTGAGACAAGGTGATTGGAACAATGGGAACATTAGTCTTGGCTGCCATGAGGAAGAGGCCACCCTTAAAATCCATGAGGTGCCCATCTTGGGAACGTTGTCCTTCAGGGAAAGCCATGAGCGGGACACCCTTCTTCAGCCATTTGATTCCTTCCTTGAACGTTTTCAGTTGGGATCGGCGGTCTTCGCGATCGATGAGAATGTGATTACCCTAAAAGGTGAAAAAAGAATGGTCAGCAGGAATGAGAAGCATTTTGGCTTATCAGAAGTGCGTAGATATTAGCACCAAGACCGATACCGTCGACGACGGCATCTCTTCGGTTCTGTCACTTACACCAGTAAGTTGTTGACCAATGCAGGGAACTTTAGCAAGCTCTCCCTTGGCAATAAACTTGAAGACAGGATCCAATACAGTACACAAGACTGGAATGTCCAACCAAGAAGCATGGTTGGCCACAAAAAGACAGGCCCCGGCATCATTTCCAGCCTCTAGTCGTTCAACGTTCCCTGAAATAGTGGGATAAGAATTGGTGGCCGTCAACCAAGCTTTCGACCAGATCTTTCCAGTATTGTCATATTCGGCCTTGTTGACATCGTTATCACCTTTCTTTCCCACAATAGCCATAGCGAGGAGCCATATGGGGCCAGTAACGAGGGATACAAGGAAGCACCAGGCTCCATGGGCGTTGACGAACTTTTCCTTGGGAGGCTCGCCAAAGGTTAAAAGTGGATTGATTTCGTCTTGCGACAATTGAAAACTTCTGGTATCCAATTCTCCTTGTTCGATAGGGTTAGCCGCTCTCAATATCGAGGAAGAAGGTATGGAACCGCTGAGACTTGACTTTGTGGTTGTTGAAAATCCACTGGTTGAAGATACAGCCATGGAGAGAAGGATTGCTCTGCAGACGAAAGGTTTCATCTTGGATATGTGTGCAAAGTTATGACGTGTTGGTTGCCAAGATGGCTTGTTGACAATCCAAAAGTTTCACAGAAGATTCTTCTTCGTTAGCATGAGAATATTGCTGGTCGAGAGGTACCTGGTACAGAAGGTTGATGTCCTTCAACTTCCGTCCCAGAGTTGATGCGTTTTGTGGTGGCAATTTTCAGCCATTGGACCAATTTTTTGCCATGGGACCAATCAGAATCCTCGAGCCACACGTCAGTCTATCGTCTTGCAGTTGGCACTGTCGTGAAACGATCGGCACTTGCTTGAAGTTCACGCTCCGGTATCTCTCTCCAGCGCACATCGTTTGTGCACGTAGGTTCCTACGGTACAGTTAACCGGTAAGCGCAGGAGTGGGGTAAAAGTAAAGCGGCGCGGCTTCAATGACTGACTCACTCCTCACTCACTCACTCGGCACTCACTCACTCATTGGATTGATTTGTCACTGCAACAGTACCTACCAACCGTATGCAAAGGACAATGCTCTACTGTACAGTACGTATACGTTACCGGTATACCCAATTCAGGAACCAATTCAGGAACCACTAAAAAGCACTCTGATTAGAATCAAATTGATTTGATATTGCTACAGGCAGAGTGACTGAGCCATGCCTTTTCTCGTGGTCTTGAATTATCTCTTTGATTCGTGGTTGTGTCAACTTCGCCACCTATGCTCAGTTGGCACTCGACATTTTGTTGAAAATTTGACTAATCTGAAACAAGTTTTTCATCTATTGCTTAGTCACTACTCGTACTTTCAAAAAAGTGTTTGATTTCGTCCCAATGCTGGTCCACCAGAACAGACATCGGCGCCTGCTGTCCTGGTTGAACGTCCATCAATTTTGACAGCTTGGCTACAAACCGTGTTCCCCGGCTCAAGCCTTCCGACACCCATAGTTCTTCTTCTGGGATCGCTACTGTGCCCAAAGTTGTCGTTGTCGTTGTAGTTTGACGCCGAGTTTGGTGGTGACTTTGATGATTGGTGGCATCACCTCCTTGTGCGGACGAGATATGAACGCGTTTGGGCGGACTGGTTGGATTTCTAGCTGGTGTTGACATGGGAGTGGGCCGAAACGATGAGACATCGTCATGTGATATATCGACGGGACGTCTTCCGAGGGGCTCGTAGCCTTGTCTTTGATCGTTGTTTGGAGGAATTTCGTATACACCATCATTATCATCTCGTCGTGGAACAACGGGAGGCATCCCCGAGCTTTCCATGGTGCGATGGTGTCCGCGATATCCTTCATCTGGCAATCCATATTCGTTCTCCATTCTGGGGTCAACAGGAGCAGGAGGTGGAGGAGCTTGTGGCGGTGGTGTGTACTTGGCATTCATCGTAGTCGTACCAGTCATAGTCTCATCAAGGTCCAATTGCAGGTTGCTGGTAATACTTCCTAGTTCAGATGCAAACAAGAGTCGGTCCCGACCGATTTCTGGCTGCTCGTGCAGTTGCTCCTTTAGAGTTTGGTTCTCCAATTCCAAGGTTTGAAGCTGCTTCTCTTGTGCTTCGAGTGCAGCCTTGAGTTGGGAAAGAATGTCATCTTGTGGATCCGTGCGCATTCGTGGTGGCTGCTCACGTCGTTGCCGATTAGGAGTGGCATACGATGCAGGATGAGGTGTTTCTACAGGTGCGGGAGGTGGCTCTGCAGGTGTTTCGACACTATGGCGAGTGCTATAGGATCGAACTGACGATTCGCCCTTTTCTCTGCGCACCGGAGTGCTGCGATCGACATAATTGCGCAACGGCGAGAAACGTTCGGCACTAGGTGGAGGATCTTTAACGGAAAAAGGTGCCTTGGAATCTGTGGTGTAGGTAGTGTAAGTTGGTACCAGCTGTGGTGTCTCATATTGCTTGTCATTGGTCGTTTTGTTGCTCTTTGTCGCTGTGTTGAAGTTTGACATGGTTTGATTTTCCTTACTTTGTCTGCTGGGAGTGTTGATATTTGCGTTGCGACTTCTGTTAGGTGTGCCTCGATTTGTACTCGAAGTACCATCATCGGTGATGGGTCTTCCATTCGTAAAGGTTAGTAGAGAAAGGTGGGATTCGACCTGTTTCCATCGATTATTAAGAGCCTCGAGCTCGTCCTGAAAGGATTGAAGGATTGTGCCGACATCAACATCGTCGTAAGGGTCTTCAAACTCCACAATATCGCCGGCATCGTCTTCGTAAATGAAAGATCGTTCCTGTTCCTGCTGTTCCTGATGTTGTTGCTGATGTTGACGCTGATGTTGATGTTGCTGTTGTTCAGCGGGTGATCTCAACGGTTGACCCGTGTTGGCTCGCATTCGGCCAGGCGATTGTTGTGCCACTCTTGCTGATCTAGCGGACATGTCACCGTTGACTATCGCTCAATACCGGTACAGAAGGTCGATGGATGTGCTGGCTGCAGCAACAAGCAAATCAGCGTGGATGTGTGATCGTCAGTTTGGTATGCTTGGATCGAATAAATCATTGGATCCCACCAAGTTTCGAAAAATTTTGGTCTACGCAAATTTTGGTAGGAAATGCCGTAGAACCACATCTTCCCTTTTCGACGATTTTGGTGCAGTACTAGCCGTACCGGTACTTCAAGAGCTATCGATGGTCTCTAGTAGATATTTTAAAATGTATAGTGCTAACTTATGATAAATTTATTCAAACATGTGCGCGTGCTGTATAATGTCTTTTTTTCTTTCTTTCATCACGATGAAAGACTTCCCCTCTATTGGCAGAAGCTGTTTGCTTAGAGCCAGCATAGACTCATGATCAATGTCGTGGTGGCAGCCAACCAAGACAGAGTAGTGATACCACTCGACAAGCTGCATGCCGTTTGCCCAAACGACTTAGTCGATGGGCAGGAGACACACTCGGAATCTTGCTTGCGAGATGCTCGTCCCATTTGCGAGGCCGATCCTGGAGGGCACAAGAGGCCGTCGCAGCCAAAGGCTTCCACGTCGCCACTGTTCCACTCGTTCAAGTTGCAAAGAGCAGGAGGAATTTCATCAATCTGGTTGTTCCGTAGTAGAATCGTCATGTCCGAGAATCGAGCGAGATCTGCTGGGATTCCACCCGTCAAGGAATTGTCGGAAACATCCAAGTACATGCTCATGTTATAAAGGGCCACATTGAACATGGTTGGAGGAATGGTTCCTGTGATTTGATTGTGTGCCAATTCGACTGTTTCCAAAGATTGGTGGGTGGAAAAGGATGGCATAGGTCCCGAGAATTCATTGCTGCCCATGCGCAACTTTTTCAAGTTGCGAAGTGGATATAGATTGGGCACTGTTCCAGTAAAATCATTGTCGGAACAGAGCAAGGATTCCAAATTGTACAATTGATCAATCTCCGCGGGGAATGGTCCTTTGAGATTGTTGAATCGAATATCCAACTCCTTCAACGACACTGCCTTTCCAATGCCAAACAATGATGTGATTTTGGTCGAGTCCAATATCAAACTCTCGAGATTGGTGGCTTTTCCAATCCCTTGAAAGCTCACGTCAATCAAGTTAGAATATAGCCATAGATTCTTCAGCTTGGAAAACTCATAAATTTCGATTGGCAAGGTACCAACTAGGTTGTTGCTACCAAGAACAATCTCTTGGACCAGGTTATCGGGAGTACAAGAAATTCCATGCCAAGTGCAATAGTCAAAGCCTTCATCGTTCCAACGATCCCTGTTACGCCATGACATTCCACCCGTTTCTTCAAATAGCTTTTCCAGCACAGTTTTTTCCCTTTCCTTTTCGTATTCCAAGCAAAAGGACTTGCCAAAGATCTTCGAATCTTCTGCTCCAGGACATGGTTCGCAAAAGATGGAGTCGCTCTCTCTTCGTCCCGAGACGCTGAATTGACCTGGCGGGCACAGAATAGCGTCGCATTGATAGGACCCAACAGTTCCTCTCATCCATTGGGATTTGTCGCAAAGACCGTTTCCAATCGCTGTAATGAGATTATCGGCCAAATAGATATTCATTTCTCGGAATCTTGAAAGCACGGATGGAATCGTGCCGACCAAGGCGTTCTTGTTGAGATGTGCATTGATGGTGTAGCTTGTATTGGTCTGTGCCAAAAAGTTCTCACTGATGGAGCCAGTGAACTGGTTGTCTTGGAGGTGAATTTCACTCAATTTTGGCATGTTGGAGAATGCGGGTAGTGACCCTGTCAAACCTGCCCCTTCACCTTCGGTATTGTCAACGTACAAGCCTCTCAGTGATGTCATCCCACTCATATCAGGCAACTGCCCCATCCAGTCATTGCTCGACAGCACCAACTCTTCCAATGAGTTGAGCAGACCAATTTCGCTTGGAATTTCTCCACTGAGTGCGTTCGACTCCAAAGCAAGATGTTTCAACATAGTCATGCTGCCAATGGCGGACGACAAAGTCCCAGTCACCATTGAATTGGAGAGATCCAAATCTTCGAGACCAAGAGTGTACAACTCTTCAGGAATCGGTTTCCACCCTAGAGGGCAATCAGGTAAATGAAGCTTTTTCAACGCTGTAGCTCGTCCAATCCCGTCCAAAGTGGTAGTCGCAGTGAAATCCAACAAGAGTTCTTCCAAGGCACTTGATCGCCAGATTGCAAAGAATTGCAATTCCACATGATTGAAACGCACGTCAAGCTTTCGGAGATCCGGCAGGTGATATAACACGGAGGGGATAATACCGAAGAGATCGTTACCGGCAAGGTTGATCTCTGTCACTTCTTTCGTTCCAAGTGCAGTGACTTCACATTCGATACCATACCAGTCACATTCATCGACTTGATCTTTGCCCCACCCATCGCTGATCTTCCAGTAAAGACCGTTGGTGGAATCATAAAGCTGCATCAATTTTTCGCGCTGGCTCATAAAATCAACGAGAACAGGTCCACATTCTGTGCTTCCGAAAAGAGTTGCTGATGCAGGATAAGTACAGGTTTCACATGGCGTCTTAGAATCGACCCGTCGACCGAATTCATTGAACGTGCCCTCTGGACAAAGGAAGGCATCACAACCATTCGCAATTTCTCCGTTGAACCACTTGTTCTTATTACACAGTTCGTCTGGGATTTCATCAATCAAGTTGGACGATAGTAGCAGCTGTAAATCGTCGAAATCCTTCAGCTGTGGTGGAATTCTGCCTTCGATAGCATTAAAACTGAGATCGACAAACAATTGCTGGCTTTTATCCGTAACTCCCGAAAGGAAGTTGGGTGGCAGTGTGCCTGTGAATCTGTTGTGGCCCAGATAGATTTCCTTGATTCGAGGTAAAGAATGAAGCGAGGGTACAGTTCCAGTCAGACCATGACTTCCTGAAGGCTCGCAAATGAATCCAAGGCAAGGCGGCGGCTCTTCCTTTTGAAGCGAGAGAATTTCCAGCAAGGGCAAGCCTGAGATTTGTCTAGGGATGGATCCTGTCAACAGGTTCTCCCCGAGAGACAAGGCTTTGAGACTACCAACTGAACCCAATTCAGGCGGGAGAGTACCCGTCATCTTGTTGTCGAATATGTATAGATTTTCCAAGTTTGTGAGTCGGCCAACGTTCGACGAAATCGTTCCGCTCAGTTCATTGTGACTGAGGTAAAGATTTTGTAGTCTTGTGAGTGCGAAGACCTCGTTCGGGATAGGACCGGCCAACGCGGCATTTGTTACATGTAGGTTTCGGAGCGAGCCAAAAGCTCCCCCTATTCCATCCAATGCATACGTGTCTGTTTCAGAAACCATGACAGTTTCCAATATCCGGGCCCCTTGAACATTCTGGAAGTTCAGAGTTAATGAGTTTTTCTGGACATTGAAAACCTGCAAGCCTTCGAGTTGAATCCACATGTACTGAGGAACAATCCCTTTCATCCAATTATCTGCAAGATTAATTTCCTTGACAAGTCCCTTGTATTGGCCATCCTCGTGACATGTGATTCCAGCCCAAGTGCAGTAGTCGTCCGTGCGTAGCCAATTCTCGTCCACCGTCCAATTCGCTCCATTCAGATCACGATAGAACTCTACCAACGCTGCCTTTTCGATTGCTGTTCCACAATAGGTCTGTCCCATGAAGCTAGCTTCATCGCAGTCGGAGCATGTGAGAGTACCAAACGCTCTTCCGTATGAGTTGAATTTTCCAGTTGGGCACAAGATGGCATCGCACTGAAGAGTTGCAACATTTCCATCGTTCCAATTGTTCTTGTTACATAAGCTGTCCGGGAGTTCACCAATTTGATTCCCTGCCAAGAAGAGGTTGAGGAAGTCAAACCTTGACAATTCAGTGGGCACCACTCCGGTCAATGCGTTGGATCTTAGATCGATTGTGACAAGCCCATTGGTGACGACATTCTGTAGCAGCGTTGGAGTGACAGCACCGACCAAGTCGTTATTCTGTAAGTAGAGTTCAGTCAGCTGGGTTTGTTCCAAAAAAGCTGGCACTTCGCCGTGGAGGCCAAAGCCATTGGCAACTTGATCTGAAAGGTCCAAATGCCGGAGCTCTGTGAGTTGCGAAACATTAGGAACTTGTCCAGAGAATCCATTTCTGCCCAAATCGATGTACTCAAGAGTAGTCATGGAACCCAAGTATGAAGGCACTTCTCCAGTAAATCCACACGATGCACAGCCCAAGTAAGTAAGCTTTGAAAGGAGTTGAAACTTGATCGCCATAGAGTTTTCCTTAAAAGGATTGTCTGACATATCAAGAATTTCCAGATTGGTCAAATCAAAAAGCTCGTCAGGAATAATGTCCAGTTCATTTCGTCCAATTCGAAGACGTTTCAACGACTTGGCTGCACCGACTCCCATAACATCGAAGAGACGCATCTCCTCGAGGTCGAGTGTTTCAAGCGAAGTTGCTGATCCGATGCCATCGAATGTGACATCGAACCACAGATTGCCTTGTAAATTTAAGACTTTGAGAGTTGGCAGGGTGTAAATCGCTGATGGCAACGTGCCCTCAAGATTGTTACTTTGCAACTCAATCGACACCACGCTTGGGTTCTCATTCGACTCGCATTTAATACCGTACCAGTCACAGATGCTAACATCAGGATCCAACCAGCCATCATCGTGGAGCCACAAGTCACCGTTACAGGCTCTGTAAAAGTTCTCGAGGATGTTTCTTTGTTTTCCTTCTTTCTTTTCTTGATCGGTCAAGCACTCGGTGCTTCCCCAAACCCCATCCGTGCCAGTGGCACAGCCTTGACATGGGTTAGAAATGTCTTGCTTTCGTCCAACGAATGGAGCGTATTTGTCCGCAGGACAGAGAAGTCCATCGCAGTTGAATTTTCCAACATCACCGTCCATCCAGTCTGACTTGCCACACAAAGCATCCGCAATGCCAGAGATTTCGTTATTGGCTACAAAAATGTCCAGCTTATCAAATTGGCTGAGAGACCCTGGCAGAGTCCCGCTGATTTGATTCGAGGTCAGATCAATCTTGATCAGTTCAGTCTTGAACTCCACTCCATCCAGAAAATCAAACGGAATCGAACCAGAAAGACTATTCGAACCCAAATATAGCTCACTGATTGATTTGAGTCCCTTCAACGATGGAACCGGTCCGGTCAAACCCGGTCCAACGGCACTGCTGACACCTGATACAAGTCCAACATCCGTCCCAGTAATGCCTCCTTCGCGTTGAAGCGAGAGATATTTCAAGTTCGAAAGATCATTCAGTGATTGTGGAACCGTGCCTTCAAAGTTGTTTTCTGCCATGTTTAACTCCTTCAATCCTGTTAGATCTCCAAGAGCTGCCGGGATTCGACCTGTGAAAGCATTCTGATACAACCGAAGCACTGTGAGTCCGGTCAAAGCTGCGATTGCGTTTGGAACTTTGCCATCCAAGTTGTTCGATCCTAGATCCAATTCCTGAAGCGAAGTAAGTTGGTACAATGAAGGAGGGAACGCTCCATCCAAATTGTTTCCGTTCAGTCGCAGTGTTTTTAATTGGGATGCGCCGCTGATGCCATTCATAGATTTCAGGTTGATCTCTCCAAGGTCAAGACTTTCGAGCAGTGGGGCCTTTTCAATGCCAACAAAGGTGAATGCGACTTCATTATTGTATAGTCGGAGCGATCGAAGATGTTCGAGCTCGTAGATCGAAGACGGAACAGTGCCCTTCAAATTGTTTTCAGCGAGGTCAATGGAAACAACGCGCTTGCCGCCGTCGCACTCGACACCATACCAGTTGCAGTAGTCGGCAGTGTCTCCCCAGCCCGTTTTCCTATTCCACGATGTACCGCCAGTAGAGGAAAACAACTCTGACAACACTGTAACATCATCTGGATTGGCGGCAGCAAAGTTGCCGCTGCCAAATCCTTCCGCTCCAAAATTTCCACCACATGTAGTTGCTCCAAAGTAATCTCCCCCATCACAGTTGTTGCACACTGATTGGTCGTTGCTCCTGCGTCCAATGGCATTGGCTTTCCCCTTTGGACACAAAATGGCGTCACATTGATATTTCCCGACATCTCCGTCCATCCAACTGTCAATGTTACACAGTTCATTGGGGATCTCTGTAATTTTGTTTCCAACTAGGTTGACAAAGAAATTGTTGAAGCGAGACCAGGAGCTTGGTATTGCTCCCTCTAGCTGGTTGTGGCTCAATCCAATTTCAATGCGAAAATCAGCCTTGACACTGTTGGCAAGAAAGTCAGCTGGAAGATTCCCCGTCAATTGGTTAGAGTCCACTTTAAGGGACGTGAGCTGTCTCAGTCTTTCGTAGGCTGGCAGCGGACCGTCAATGCCACCACTTGCAATGACTTGCTGAAGCTCGAGGCTCCTCAGTTCCGTCAGTTGATTCAGTTGTGTGGGTAGTGTTCCACCGAACGCATTTTCTCCCGCCAGGAATTCCTGAAGACTACGTAGATTTCCAATTGCTGCTGGCAATTGGCCTGTCAAGTCGTTGCCACTGCACTCCAAACGTTGCAAGTTGGTCAACCTGCCGATATCGCTGGAGAGCGTTCCTGAAAAGCCAGTGTGTGAAATTTTCAGCTCCTCCAAACTCGTCAAGGCAAAGATTGCCGATGGAATAGATCCTCCGAGGTCGTTCGAATCCAGTGATAGCATAGTGATTGTGGGTTCTTCCGTCAATTCAATCAAGGCATCCAAAGCGGACAACTTCAGTTTCGTGCTGGAAAGATCCAATACTTGAAGATTTTTGGCATTTCCAATGTCTGTAAGATCGAGGTCAATCGAGTTGGCACTGAGATTAATGATTCGAAGATTTGGAATTGTAAAGATATCACTCGTAGAAAAAGTCCCAGTCAAGCCGTTGTTGCGAAGATTGATCGATTGAATAGAACTAAATTCATCGCAGGTAATCCCGTACCAATCGCATACCGGTACGGAAATAGAATCCTGCAACCAGCCATCGTCATTCTTCCAATTCTCTCCGCCCATATCCTTGTAGAATTCTCCAAGTGTCAAAAGAAGACCTAGCGCACTGTCAGGAGTTGTCACTCCGTCACATTCGGTAGCTCCCCATGGTTGACTGCTGCCGCCGACAACACCAATACGCTTGTTACAAGAACGACAAGCATTGTCCGCTGTGGCATGACCGTCGGGAGCCCAAGTACCAGGTGGACACAAAAAGCCGTTGCATCCAACTTTCGCCACTTGGCCGTCCATCCATCCACTGATCTTGGGACAAAGATTATTCACTGTATCATAAATCTCTGTGGGCACCGACGTGATTTGGTTGTTGGCAAGGTTCAAGGTCAAGTATTGCTTTTCCGCCACAGAAAGTGGGAGTGTTCCGGAAATATTATTGTTCTGTAGATTCACCTCTACTTTTTCGGCGGCTGGGCAATTGGCAAGAAAGGATTGATCTAGATTGTCAGTCAGTGCTTGGTTTTGTAGGTACAACGCTGTTAGCTTTCGGTGATTGTCAAAGGCAGGAACCGGTCCAAAGATGCCAGTGCCCTTTTCCTTTCCATCCTCACGTTGTATGGAGAGCAATTGCAAATTTGTCATCCGGTTCAACTCCGAAGGCAAAGTACCCCCAAACGCATTCTGACTCAAAGCCAGAATCTCGAGACCAGTCAAAAGCCCAAATTCAGTTGGAATTTGTCCCGTGAGTTCACTATCATACAAGTAAAGTTCATCTAGATTGGAAAGACCACCAATGCTGGTGGGAATCGTTCCAGTGAAGGAGTTGCCATTAGCATAAAATGCAACCAACTCGGTGAGTTGAAACAAACCACTTGGAAGCTTGCCTCGAAAGCCCGTGTCTGTCATGTGCAAATTCTCTAGTTTGGGTGCCGCTCCAATGTTGGATAGATCCTTCACGTCGGTTCCGCTCATGCTCAATTCTTTCAAAAACTGCGCCTTGTCAATTCCAGAGAAATCGATGTCCAAATCAGGATTGTCGTCTACATCAATTGTCTCCAAGAATGGTATTTCAAAGATCATTGCCGGCAGTGTACCCTTCAGATTGTTCTTTCTCAAATTGATTTGTTGAATTTGCCCATTGCGCCGTTCGTCCGATTCAAACTGGGTGTAGCACGTGACACCCTTCCAATTGCAAACATCGGACCGTTGCTGAAACCAATTGGTAGAATCGGTCCAATCAAAGCCGCTGGTTGCTTGGAAAAGTCCCAGTAAAATCTCTCGATTGTGAAAACCAGAGTAGTCTTGTTGTACCGGATCTTCTGCCGCAGCCATACATGGCAACAACAAGAGAAGAATCCAACTGTGGATTGGCCGCATTGGTTTTGTCATGTCTGTTCCACTTGGACGAAGCAATGACTCTACTCTCTGCGTCACTTTTTGTTGTGTACTATAGTTTTAAGCACGCACTGTGGAAATGATGCGGGCTCAGTAGACTACTTTTTGAGTTTCTTTGCAGTACGAGGTGCTGTACCAGACACACAAGACCGAGTTGTTGTCAATTTGAAGTGACAATGCGAAACGAGGCAAAAGATCGTGCAGTTTATTGCCGTTTTGACTACCACCAGTGCAGTTTCCGTTGCCAGGTGGCGGGCAAGCATCTCGCGCAATTACGCTCCGACCGGCCGGCGGCTATATCACACATGGTTTTGTCCAGTCGTGAAGAAGGAGTAATCGTATGAAATGTTTGACATGAGTTGACAATGATGAACGGGCTTCTCAGGATACCAGAGAAGAAAGGCAACGAAACATAATCATTGTAGATGAAGTCACTCTTAATACTTTATTGTTTGTTTTGTTTTGTTTTGTTCTGTTCTGTAGAAGCTTTCTTAGTAGTCCCAGAGCTTTGATTGATTCGTTTTGAAATGGACATTCAAAGTAAGTGGTAGATAGCATTGGCACCAGAATTTTCCACCACGTTATTTTCCAATATTATATATGTATATTATAAATATGGCGTAAAATTCCCGAAGAAAGCAACTTTTGTAAGAATAACGCGGTAAAAAACACTGGTACAAAATCAGAGCAAATTCAAAATACAGTACATGTACCGTACACGTACCGGTAGTATACGAAGACCTGAAAGAATATGACCTCTCTGACTTCATTAGTCCAACATCCAACAAAACAAAATCGATCGAAAAAAACAAAGCAAATCAGGTGGTCTCATATCCAACAAATAGAACAGACACAACAATATGAGTGCGGCAGATCCAGATGTAATGGCGGCAATTGATCGCGGAAATGCGGTTGTCTTCTTTGACGTTGGTATGGGTGATGGGGCGAATGTCGCAAAGTTGGGTCGGATTAAGATGGAGCTCTTTGTAAAGGATGTGAGTTAGGTGGTGTTTTTTCTAGAGTTCCAAAAGTAGTGATGGCATGATGTTCTCATTCATCTTCGTTTCGTCATTACTATAGTGCCCAAGAACGTGTGAAAACTTTCGTCAATTCTGTACAGGTAAGTTGAAGAATCATCCCATTTGACAATGTCAGTGCTCACTCCACCCGGGATCAATCAAGCTCATGTTGCTTGTAATTGCAATGACATAGGCGAGTTCCTTCGAAACGAACAACCCACTGGCTACAAGGAAAGCACATTTCATAGAGTGATGAAGGTACGTCTGCTTTGATTTGTGATTTGTTTATCATCGTGAGTCCCCTAAACCAAGCGTCCATTGCAACACGTTTATAGGATTTCATGATACAAGGTGAGTGGTGTGGCGATGAAGACATGGGGGCTGAATACCGTTGATTATCGACATGCTACTAAACATAATATATTTCGCAACAGGAGGAGACTTTATTAATCACGATGGAACGGGGAAGCTTAGTATTGTAAGTTGTTACACGTTCGTGCTCTCATCAAGTGAGACGAAATCTAACCAAATCATCCATCATATCATCGTCATCTAAAGTATGGACCATCCTTTCAAGACGAAAACTTTATTCACAAGCACGAAACTCCGGGAATGTTGTCCATGGCCAACTCGGGTCCGAATTCCAATGGTTGTCAGTTTTTTATTAGTTGTGCCAAGGCAGATTGGTTGGATGGGAAACATGTGGTCTTTGGCAGAGTGTTGGATGATACGAGTATGTTGACGGTTCGCCGATGCGAGGCAGCCCCGGTGAATGGGACTACACCGCGATTACCCTTGAAGGTATTGGAGTGCGGGGAACTATGAGACATTTGTCAAAGTTGTCAATAGTATGACTACTGCTGTAAGCAATCTAATAATCAGATAAAACTGCAGCGATAGAAGTACTTAGGGGGTTGTTGTTCCCACAGTTTATCACATTTAGTTTTTAGACCTTGGCAACATTCTTTTGGTTGCTTGAAAATGGGGATGATCTAAAAAGTTGTTTCGGAACATGGTCCCTGTAGTGTTCACAGTTTTATTGCCCCATGTCTAGAATCATCAGGTTGACGATTGATTTTTATTCATATTGATTGATTGATTCTCTCATTTCTTCTTCTTCGTTCCTCCCTTGGCAAAGGTCTCTAAATAATCATCACCATCGTCGTCGTCAGCACTTCCCTTCTTGTTTTGCTTAGCATATTGCTTGCGCTCTGCAGCAAGGCGCTGCTCTACCTGTGCTCTCTTTTTGGCGGTCAACTTCTTCTTGTTATCCTTGTCGCTCTTTTCCTCCCCCTCAAGCTCATTTGCCAAATCATCAATGGCCTTGTCGTCCATCTTTGTTAGTTTTTCGTCACGCTCTAATTATAGTGATCAGAAATCAGTTATTCCTGTTGAATGCGATAGGAACATACACCACCATGACAATCTACGTACGTGCTTGCACCTGAGATTGCATCTTTATTAGCAATGCCAACCCTCCCAAAACAGGGATTCCGTACTGGAGAGGCACGAACTTGAAAAATGCCTATATCGAAATGAGGATGTGCGCAAAGAGAACATGATGCGGTGAGTCGAAAGGTCGCCCTGCCAAATCGAAAATTCACAAAAGATTTCGGCACTCACATAAGTTCCGCAAACTAGGAGGAGGGGAAGCGAAAAGGCAAGATTTTCAGCCGTCAGAAAGATGTTTCCTTGAGCAGTACTCATTTTAGAGTCAGATTGTATATTTTGTTTGTATGAAAGAGGATGAGTTGTCGTGTGGGCTGGCAGTGATTGAAGTCGTTGCCAATGTTTGAGAAGCGTGTCCCAAAGTCGAAAGACGTGATGTGGATCGGACAGATTTTTGGATGATGATTCTCTGCTGATCTATAGTCGACCGATATGACCTCAATGCGACTTTGGACGACTGACCAAGGACTGACTGACTGGAAAACGATCAGAATTTAGAATTTGCTCCCATAACCCGATGAAATTTCGGCTCCGGCGGACGTACCGGACCACGTCATAGCTTCCATGGAAGATGCCGTTTTTATCAATCAAAATCGACACTTTTTGAAGCAAAATGTGACTTTTTCACGCAAAGATCCCCATCAGTTTCTCTTCTTCAATTGGTAGCATGGACAGACTGCTTCCTACCAAGTCACGCGGCCCATCGTAAGATTTGACATACAGGATCCAGATTCATTGTCTGCCCTCCAATCTTCCGACCACAACTGACGCGGAATTTCTGGTGCTGCATTCTAGGTCATAAATTGCGTCGAGGAAAAAATGCATCTCTCCAACGTTTACCTTTTGGGGCTTGTCGCCCCTCTGGTGACTTATGCATTCGTGCCGCAGTCACTGAAGACTCCAACTCAACAGACTCTTCGAGATCCAGTCAGGAACAGTGTCGAAACACCATCCTTCTGGTCACAAGATGAATGCTCGTCAACTCAACTAAATATGGCATTTGACGACTCCAAAGGAAGCAATATGTTCGATGGACCAATGGCTCTTACCAAGGAGCGCGATGCCTGCGGTGTCGGTTTTATTGCCAACACTAAAAGTGGAGGTACGTTTTTCTTCCACGTGAATTCTAGGTTTGACAAGATTTTCGTCTAATGATGTTGTGTTCTCATTTTCTTTCTTGCGTTTTTTTTTCTGATACAGAGGAGTTTGGAACCCACCGGGTTGTACAACAGGGTCTTTCGGCACTTACATGCATGGAACACAGAGGTGCATGTGGAGGTGACAAGATTTCTGGTGATGGTGCCGGTATGATGACTCAGATTCCATGGAAGCTCTTCGCCGAATATAGATCAGATGACTGCCCACAACCTGGTGTCGGTATGATCTTCCTTCCTATCGACGAAGAAAAGCGCGAAGCGGTGAAGACCAAGATCGAAGAAGTGTGCACTTCTAATGAGCTCAGATTCATCGGATGGCGTGAAGTCCCCGTCGACCCTGAAGTTCTTGGTCCTTTGGCCAAAGCCGCGATGCCCAGCATCTGGCAGTTCTTCGTCAAGGCCCCTAAACGCCTTGACAACGATGACAATAGCCGTGATGGTTTCGAACGCACATTGTATCTTATCCGCCGTCGTTTCTCTGTCGAGCTTGAAAATGCTGGACTTGTTTGGGATGACAGCGAAACCTACGTCGCTTCCTTAAGTTCCCGAACCATCGTCTACAAGGGTATGGTCCAATCTGCAGTTTTGTCCACCTTCTACAAGGATTTGACCAATCCCGATTACACATCCAAGTTCGCCATCTACCACAGACGATTTTCCACCAACACCAACCCTCGCTGGCCTCTCGCCCAACCCATGAGAGTCCTTGGACACAACGGAGAAATTAACACCCTCCTTGGTAACGTTAACTGGATGAAGGCCCGTGAACGTTCCAAGTCTTTGGAGTGTGACATTGACTCTGACTTGGTAGACTATGACTCCACTGAGAACATTGTCACCATGTGCGACACCCAAGATATCCCAGACTTCCTTGAGCCTGTCGTCGATCTTGGCCGATCTGATTCTGCCAACTTGGATTCTGTCTTCCAATTGATGACTCAATCTCGTCACCGTGCGCCATGTGCTTTGATGGCTATGGTGCCAACCGCTTACATGGAAAACCCAGACTTGAAAAACAACCCAGAGATCACTGACTTTTACAAATTCCACGGAGGTTTGCTTGAGGCCTGGGATGGTCCAGCCCTTCTTGTTTTTTCTGACGGTAAATCGATTGGTGCCTCTTTGGATCGTAATGGTCTTCGCCCCGCTCGTTATTCCATCGCCAAGGACGGAAGTGTTTATATGATGAGTGAGACTGGTGTCGTTCCTGATCTTAAAGAAGCCGATATTGTTGAAAAGGGACGTTTGGGACCTGGTCAAATGATTAATGTTGATCTCGAAACTGGAGAATTCAAGGACAATATTGCCATCAAGAGTGAAATCGCGTCTCGTAAGTCGACGGAAACATTGCTGCAATACTTTGCTCCCGCCGTATCATTTCCTAACTCTTAATTTTTCCCCGTTTAGGCCACCCATATGGAGAATGGATGGAGAAGCACCGCAAGGAAATCACCAAGACCGAAGCTGATGATGTCCGTCTGTATGATGACGACACAGCAACTTTTGCTCAGGCCACTTTCGGATGGAGTCTTGAGGATATTGGTATGCAAATCCAAGATATGGCTGGATCCGGCAAGGAGACGACCTACTCTATGGGAGATGATGCCCCTATTGCTGCATTGAGTGAGCGTCCACACCCACTTTATAATTACTTCAAGCAGCGGTTCGCCCAAGTTACCAACCCTCCTATTGACCCACTCCGTGAGGGTGTTGTCATGTCTTTGGAAATGACCTTGGGAAGAAAAGACAGTATCTACAAGGTTTCTGAGGACGGTGCTCGTATCATCCGTCTTGAATCTCCTATTTTGAATGGCGTCGAGATGGACCAAATTGCCACTCTTGCCGAAGACAGCAACGGAGGATTCAAGCAAGCTACTGTTTCTACCAGATACACCCTTGCTGATGGACCCGCTGGAATTGAAGCTGCCTTGGAAGCAGTCTGCGACCAAGCCGTCGAAGATGTCAAGAACGGTGCTGAAGTTCTTATCCTCAGTGATAAGGCCGCCGACCAATCGGTTCTTGACGAAACCACCTACATTCCACCACTTGTTGCCATCGGTGCTGTCCATCACAGATTGATCGACGAGGGTCTTCGCATGGATACCGGTATTGTTGTTGAGACTGGTGCCGCATGGTCTACCCACCACTTCGCCTGTCTTGTTGGATACGGTGCCAACGCTGTCCACCCCTACCTTGCTCTTGAAACTGTCAAGCAATGGCACGGACAAGATCGAACGCAAAAGATGATGAAGGCCGGGAAGCTCGCAGATGTGTCTCTCGCCAAGGCACAAGAGAACTACCGTGTTGCTGTCGAGAACGGAATGCTCAAGATCTTGTCCAAGATCGGTATTTCTCTTTTGACTTCTTACTCTGGTGCCCAAATTTTTGAAGCTCTTGGTCTCGGAGATGATGTCATTGCAAAGAGTTTCAAGGGAACCACAAGCCGAATCGGAGGAATGTCTCTTGAAGACATTGCGTCCGAAACTGTCATGATGCGCCCTGAAGCCGTCAAGGAAAAGATGAAGCTTATCAACTACGGATACTACAAGCCTGTGCCAGCGTTGGGTGAATACCACATCAACTCGTCTGATTTGGCCAAGCTTTTGCACAATGCCATCGGTCTTGACAAGAAAGTCAGTGCTGCTAGCAACAGAGACGAACTGGAAAACGATGGTGTCCAGCCAAAGAGTGTTGCAAACTACGAAATCTTCCGAAAGAGTCTTGAAACTGCTCCTCTTGCAAACATTCGTGATCTCTTGGATTTCGACTCCGACAGAGAGAGCATCTCCATTGATGAAGTCGAACCTGCTTCAGAAATCATGCGTCGATTCTGCACTGGTGCGATGTCTCTTGGAGCTCTCAGCCGAGAGGCTCATGAAACTCTTGCCATTGCCGTCAACCGAATTGGTGGAAAGTCCAACTCTGGTGAAGGTGGTGAAGATGTTCTCAGGAACAAGCCAATTCAGGACGTCGACGAGAATGGCCGATCCGCTTCTTTCCCACACCTTGCTGGATTGAAGAACGGTGATTCTGCCAACTCATTCGTACACCAAGTTGCATCTGGTCGTTTCGGTGTCACCCCAGAATTCCTTGTCACCGCTAAGCAACTGGAGATTAAGATTGCTCAAGGAGCCAAGCCTGGAGAAGGAGGTCAATTGCCAGGACCCAAGGTTTCCGACTACATTGCTGGGCTTCGAGCGAGTAAGCCAGGTGTGACACTTATCTCTCCTCCTCCCCATCACGATATCTACAGTATTGAGGATCTGGCACAATTGATTCACGATTTGCACGCCGTCAACGAACGCGCTGGTGTTTCTGTCAAGTTGGTGTCTTGTGTTGGTATTGGAACCGTCGCCTGTGGTGTTGCCAAGGCTGACGCCGATGTTATCCAAATTTCTGGTGGTGATGGTGGTACTGGTGCTTCCCCTCTTTCCTCGATCAAGCATGCTGGGTGCCCATGGGAGCTTGGACTCTCTGAAGCCCACTCTGCACTTCTTAACAACAACCTTCGTGACCGTGTCACCATTCGTGTTGATGGTGGAATTAGAACTGGATTGGATGTCATGATTGGAGCCATGCTTGGTGCTGAAGAATTTGGATTTGGTACTATTGCCATGATTGCTGAGGGATGTGTCATGGCCCGAGTTTGCCACTTGAACACATGCCCCGTTGGTGTCACCAGTCAAAAGGAAGAGCTCCGAAAGAAATTCCCAGGAACTCCAGAACACGTTGTCAACTTTTTCGAATTCGTCGCTGAAGAAACACGAAGTTTGCTTGCAACTCTTGGATACAAGAGCCTCGAAGATGTTATTGGACGTGCTGATTTGTTGAAGACCGGCGAGACACAGGTTGGACGGGTTGCCAAGACCAAATCCATGAGTCTTGACTCTTTCTTTTCCGGTGTTCCAAACACAAAGGATGATAGATCTTTCTTGAAGGCCAAGATGGCTGGCGGAATTGAAGTCAAAAAGGAAGAAATTGTTCACGTCAATGGATTCAGCAGTGACCTCGACCGCGAGGTTTGTGCTAACGAGGATGTCAAGAAGGTCATTTCTGACAATGAAGGTGAAGTCTCTGTTTCTTACAAGATCTTGAACACCGACCGCAGTACTGGTGCCATGCTTGCAGGAGATATTGCTCGCGCTCACGGAAACATCGGCTTCAATGGAAAGATCAACGTTCAATTCGACGGAAGTGCTGGCCAATCGTTTGGATCTTACACACTGCCCGGATTGAGCCTCAAGCTTGTTGGTGAAGCCAATGATTACGTTGGAAAGGGAATGCACGGTGGTGAAATCATTGTTGTTCCAAGCCCAGATGCCGGTTTTGTTGCCTCCGAGTCAAGTATTGTTGGAAACGCCTGCTTGTACGGTGCCACTGGTGGAGACTTCCACGCCAACGGTCGTGCAGGAGAGCGATTCGGAGTTCGTAATAGTGGGGCATTTGCTGTTGCTGAAGGAGCTGGTGATCACTGCTGCGAATACATGACTGGTGGAGCTGTTGTCATTCTTGGAAGTGTAGGACGCAACGTTGGAGCTGGTATGACTGGTGGAATTGGTTACTTCTACGATAAGGATGGAGACTTCGAGGACAAGCTCAATGGCGAAATTGTCAAAATGCAAAGACTTGTCACCTCTGAGGGAGAAGCCCAACTGAAGACCATGATCGAGCGCCACTTCGAGTTGACTGGAAGTGAGAAGGCAGATGAAATCTTGTCAGATTGGGAGACTGAGAAGAAGCACTTCTGGCAAATTTACCCCCCATCCGAAACCAAGTCACCATTCGTGACAGAAGGTGCTGAAGGCACTGACCTTCGCATTTCCGCATCTGCTCCAAATGGGGATATGTGCTTCCTCCCAGTTGGGGGACAAATGTCGCCTGAGCAAACACAAAGGTGTGCCGATTAGAGTTTTAGATTTCACAATGTGAAGTGTTAGGATTTTTAGAGAATAGATTCATATGTAACATCGCTATCTCACAAAAATGAAAAGACTTCCTTAGACTTTCTCGACTGCCCGTGTATCAGTTGATATCTCCCTCTGTAGGGTTGACTGCGAATAGGGTTACCACCTCTGATAGTGGTAGGCAAAAGCTAGAAGACAGCAGATACAGATGTGATATTCTTTATGTTTACTTGGCCTCATACCAGTTTTTATGCGTGTAGCTACCGTCTACTAACAAAGGCACTGCCGTTTTTTCCAAACCAGGCACCCATGGAGCCTCCATGCACTGTATAACTTCCTTGAATGCTTCTTCAGCCGTTTCTTCAGGACCTTCAAGGATGACTTCGTCATGAATTTGCATCAAAAGAATCCATCCAAGTCTTCGAAGGATTTCACTGTTGTTGATTTTGTTCATGGCCATCATTGCAACATCGGCAGCACCACCCTGGATTGGGGTGTTGATGCTGGCCCTCTCAGCATGACCTACAAACCGACGATTTCTTCCGGTTGCCTCGGGCAGTTGCCTATATCTACCCATTAGCGTGCGTGTGATTCCAAACTTTCTCGCGTATGCCTTCGTATTCTTCTGCCAATTCCGAACTTCAGGTCGAGCATCATACCACTTGTCCAGCATCTCCTGAGCCTCGGTTGTGCTTACTCCCCAGTCCTGACTTAAACCATGCGAGGTTTTTCCGTAGGCAATTGAGAAATTAAGAGTCTTCGCCTTCCTTCTTTCAGAGGCATACTCATCTTTCAGAAGAGGTTTTGGTGGGCTCCCTTTGGAATAGTCCCATTCCAAAAGTACTTCTCCGGCATCCACCTTTTCTCGAACATAGTCGAACATGTCCAATGCCGTTCTAGAGTGAAAGTCCCCACCAGATTCGAAGGCATCAATCATCGACTTGCACCGGGTCATGGAAGCAAGCAAGCGTAGTTCTAATTGTCCATAATCAGCAACAATCAAACCATTCCCCGCTGAGGATTGGAAAGCTTGTCGGATTTTGTACTTGTCTTTTTCAAGTGCCGGCTGGTTCTGTAGGTTTGGTCTACGAGACGATAGGCGTCCAGTTTCTGTGTTGAGGTTCAACGAACAGTGCACTCGACTATCGTGATCGGCCAGAGATTGAAGACTTGTCAAAAAGTTTGCGATCATAGTATCGATGGATCCAATTGCGCAGAGGCTGAACAGAGCTTCGCATGCTTCGTGTCCTTCTTTCCCCCCACCAAAAAAGTCGTATGCCTAAAACAGTATTAGACAAAATGCTACATAGACGAGCTCTTCCGACAAGAAAGAGTCACTTACAGTACCATACCGAGGAGGATCTTCAAATGGATCTCCCGCCAGCTTTCTCAATACATCAGCCGTAACACTCGGTGCTCCACCAGCGGTGTATTTCTCAGGTTGCATACGAAGACTTGTTATTTTGACATCGAGAGCCTTTGGTCCTGCAGAATTTTTCTCATCGATAGCTGCGAGAATATCTCCAACTGTGCCTCCGTCTTTGGCCGCAGCCGCAAGGGCTTCACTGATGGTTCTATAACCATTGGCCGCATCAGGAGGAATAACGGTCTCCAATTCCTGAACGAACATGATGTCTTCTCTCAATCGCGTCAAAAGGTCTTCTCTGATCCCAGCTGTTTCGAGATCTCTAGCAGCAAGTGATAAACGCAATTCATCATCGGACATCTCATCAAACTCATCCATTTTAGATTCATCAACTTTGCCAGAAAGGAAATGCACGCGCAAGCGGTCCTTCAACTCGTCTTTCTTACCAGAAACCTTGAGTCCTTGTTCCTTACAAAGAGCCTTGAGCTGAGTCGCCGTCATTTGATCCAATTCGTCAGATTCAACCTCAACTGGGTTATAGCCATAGTGGTAAATGTAAGCCAAAACATCAAGATTTGCAACACTTTCATGTTCCATAGTTCTCACCTTGGCTCTTTCCAGCCTTGTTGTCTTCATCACGTTTTTCATAGGCAGCCAAAGCGTCTTCGGGGATTTCTTCACGCTTCACTTTGAACACTCGTTCAACCTCAGTAGGCTCCTCTGTTTTTTCGTTCAATGCACCACCAAATAAAAAGGCACCTAGCTGTGTTGAACTTGCAGGATTCATTGCTAGTCCATCAGGGCCTATCTTGGTTGCCGCCCATTCACGGAACTTTCGCGAATGTTCTACTCGATCTTTACGGGCTTGAACTTCAACGGAAGCGAGGTAATCCTTTGCGTCGACTCTCATTCCTCGTCGCTCCATATCCGTCAAAACCTTTCCGAATTCTCGCATATTCTCCCAGTAGTAATCATACAAGTTTTTCCCATTTGCAAGCCAACTCATTTCTTGCAATCGTCTGACAAGCTCTTGGTGTAACCGCCACGTTCCCTCGGCATCGTAGCAGGAGTACAAAATGAAATTCTTTCGAAATCTAGGATCGCGTTGCAACACTTCAATCGCCGGTACATCAATTAGGCTACCTGGAGTTCCATCTTTTCGAAGCCTTGGCACTCCAAATATTTCTTTCATGGGTCGCTTTCGCATGCCTAGGATGGTCGATGTCAAGGCTTCAAGACTATATCCGAGACCTTGTCCCTCGCCTTGCCCCTTGGCGCGAGATGTATCTTGCAATCTTGCCATGTGCATTGTATCGCCACCAAATCCTTGGCAGTCAATTCCCTCATTCCATAAAACATGCCGATCAAAACCATAGTTATGAAAGACTTTGTAAATCGTCGGGTCTTCGAACCATTCTTTAAACTCCTGAAGAATCCCGCAGGCGTCGTCAAGGTTATCAATCCACAGGGTACTTCCAGGCTCTGCTCCAAGCCCATAGTCAAAATCAGGACCAGAATAGACACTAGCACAAGTCACATATCCATTCCCGATTGGCCCAACTTCCTTCAGGCTAATATCCATAACTTCCGTATCAGCTGCGTGCAAAATTGACCTGTCAGCATTCATCAATTTCTCCATTACGATCTTTGCCTGCTCCTTTGTTCGAACCATTGTAACTTTTGGCATCTTCATTTCTGAATGATCGAAATAGCCTTCGTCTCCTTCCTTCAGTTGTATTATCGACTTTAGGCGCTCTTCGTATTCTGGAGATCGTCTACCAAAATTCTTGGACCATGCCACAGGATCACGAGGATTCCAATTACCTCCTGGTTTAGGGCGGCTTGTGAGTCCTTCAAATAATTCTGGTTCGAATTCTAGGAATTCGTCGTTTGTCTGCTCGTGAAGTGGACCATCGTTTGAGATCGTTGAGGAGCTGGTGCTGCTTTCATCCACCACAGTTGCCTTCATTGGTTCCGTTCTGGTTGAGAACGGCCTAGAATTATATCGAAGCCACCTCCCGCCATTTTGAAAGCGCCGTTGATGATGGATAGGGCGAGTACCGCCCGGCGACAGATGTGTGCGGAGCCTATTGGCGATCCCGGAATTCCCTTGTCGAGTGAGAAGTCTGGTTATTGACTGTTGCATTGCAGTTCTAGGTGGTGTGAATGATAACGTTTCCGTAGCATAGATGAGTAGCAAACTACACCAGAACCGAGCAAAGTTCTTTCTCAGTGGTGAAGAGAAGTGAGGCATTCAACAAAATAAATGACAAACGAGTGATCGAATTCAATAACTCCTCTGTCTTCAAAAAATTCTTACAGTTTCACCATCTGTCAATGGTGAAGATAAATGCCACCAACTGGCGCGCAGTAAACTTCGCGCGGTAGGATCGCGCTGTAGGAAGATGATAGAAGACAAAAGCAGATACCGCTCGAAAGTAGGAAGCTACTGTAGGTTTCAAAAACTATGGTTATTATACATCGTAAATATATCATACAAATCCAGGAATTTTCTTAAGACACTCGAAAAGGCAATGTACTTCATCCAACGTATTATAATGCGCCAAGGAAACTCGGAGCATCCCTTTCTTAATATCAAAGCCAAAACCATCAGCCAACATTTGGGTACACAGAAACGAGCTGACTCGACAAGAAATCCCGCTCTTGTCGCAAAGATTGCAGATGATGTCGACAGGTATATCTGCATGTAACCATGAGACAATTGGAAGTCTCATCACTGATTCGAATTTGTTTTCATTTCCCTCGATGATCTTTACCTTTGGAAATTGTCGCAGACCTGCTAACAGTGCTTCTGCAAGGGGCTCTTCTACAATGCGGATGCTTGTATAGCCTTCAGTTGCATTGGCGATGGTCAGACTGGGCTTCAGTATGTTCGGTATCGTCGACGATCTTTGACTGGGTTCTCCTGCATCTTGTAGCGACTGCCGGTTTCTCCTATTTCCATGACCTATTTTCCTGCTGCAGCAAGCCAAAGACTCAATGTACTGTCCCAAACCAACAATACCAGCACATCCTTCGTAATTCACAGTTCCTTTTTCCAACAATGGGTATAGAGCACTGGCACTATCTTCGGAAGTTGCTCCTGATGCCTCCAAAATCTCAGTTGCCGCTCCATCCTTGCGTCCGTACAGTCCTCCCACGTGCGGTCCAAATAGTTTGTGAGCAGAAACGACATACCAGTCGGCCTGTAACTGGTTCACATTGGCAAATACGTGGGGTGACGCAGCGACTCCGTCCACTACCACATGAGCTCGGCCAAGTGTCTTTTGCTTGATTCTCCTCGTCAGACCCTCAATATCTCGTATTTGCCCCAAAACGTTGGACGCGTGAGGAAGAGCCACAATTCGAGTGTTTGCATTGAGGAGATCTTCCAATTTGGAAGACGAGGACGACAATGTCTCCTGGGCGCAACCTACAGGTGTCCACCATCGAATAGTGGCACCCACTGATTGTGCTGCGCACTCCCATGGTTGGACATTTGCCAAGTGGTTTTCGGAACTAATCACAACTTCGTCATTTTCTTTTAAGAGACCTAGTTGCACATATAAGTCCGCTAGTGAAGATAGCAAGGATGATGCATTGGATCCCAACACAATTGGATCAATAGGCCTTGCTCCTAGCAATCGCTGAAAGGTTTCTCTTGCCGCTTGCTTCGTCCTTGATCCAACCACTTTTCGGTGTCGAAACGAAAGTGATGCTGTGATCGAATCGATGACCACCTGTGCCACTTGTGATCCACCAGCATTCTCAAAGAATATCCGCTCCTTCGACTGTTCAACAGAATCGTCAGTAGCAGAGGAAAGGAAGTAAGGGAACTGGGATCTTGCAAATTCAGCAATCATTTGACTCTGGCCTTTCGTACCCTCATTTGGTTTGGGTTCTTCCACATTGCAACTTGTTTGTTCTTTCTTGGCGGTTTTGCGTTCAAAAATGGCCCACCGAATCTTGTTGATGATGGCTGCCTTGGACGGAATGATAAGCTGTTGCTCGTGTTGCTGTGCACCAGAAGATTGTGCAGTAAATCCTTCACCGGAAGCGTTGTCCTCGTAAACGCAGCGCCAACCCCCCGGTTGCTCCACAGCAATGGTATTTGGAACGTTCGGGAACACCCAAAGAGACATCAAGTCTCGAATAACGTCGTCGTGCAAATTTTCCGCATGCGGCAAACCAGTGGCAGTGTCTTGAGATGGTGGGGCATTAATCTCCAAAAGGTAGGCCAATGGAGTATCAGTTTTATCGTCGTGTGCTAGAATGAAATCCATTCCCAGATATTCAAACCCATGATTGGCTTGCCCTCCTTGTAGAAAAGGAAACACCCGCTTTGCCAACCCTGCGACACAAGCTTGAACAGAAGGGAAGTATTGCGCCAATGGAATTACCGTTTGGCCATCCCGTTCCGTTGTTGCAGAGGTTTCAAAATCGGCCAGGATCTCTCCGGCAAACTTACTGTCATCATGACTATTTGCACAGCAATTGGTAATGTGGACCGATTCTTCAAATGCCTCTTTATCCCTGCCAGTCGCCATCGTTTGCTCTGTATTGCTAGTGGTGGTGAAGGGATCGTTCGCAACATGCAAAAAGGCTCGATGATGCACAAAGGCTCTGCCATCGGACGTCAAGAGTCCGTAGACCCGCACATGACATTTTCGACCGCCAAACAGGACAGGTGGCCAAACATACTTTTGCGCCACATACTTGTGATCTGGAAACATTTTTTTGTCATCTTTCCCAAATGCTGTGGCATTGCTCGGTCCGACGACCCAAATTCCACCAGCGCCGTTCGCTTGCGCGTCCTTGACGACCCACAAGTTGTTTGGTTCGACTGCATCCGTTGTAGTCACGGCATCCTCTAGAATATCAACTAAGTTTGATCCAGTCCTTGCTGATTCAGATTCTTCTCGCTGATTTTTCCACAGTCCTACTTTATCGCCAAAGGCTTGAAATCCATCTGGGCCTCGAAAACAGTGCGTTTCCAAAGTAGCCAACAATTCGCTATCGTCCTCTCGTCTCTCGTTAAAGATTCGTCCCAAGACCCACTTGGAATCAAGAATGTTTAATCCATTTGGCAAGTGCGAATAAACGCTGACAGTGTCGCGATAGTCTTTGCTTTCTCGCCGAGCAGCATTTTCCCACAAAAAGTCGGGTGGCGTCTTGTCTTCCATTGCGGCTGTATTTGCATTGCCGTCCTTGCTGTCTGTGCTATCATTGTCAATCCAATCGGCAGGCATCAAAGGACTGATCCTTGTGTGCGCCACACTACCAGTGGCTTCGTATCTAAAGGATCGCTTCATGGTTGTCGTCTGGTTGGATTTGAATTTGTGTTTTCAAATATTTTCAATTTTGTACCTCGTTGGTCATTGGATTGTGATAAACGACCCTGGATGTGACGTCACAAGTGTCTTTTTTGTGGCTCGGAAGGTGTTCGCACAGGTACGAGGTACGAGTACCAGGGTACAAGTGCTTTGAAAAGTGTCTCTACTGTAGTGTAGCTATTTGGTGACTTCTATAATGACAAAATGGTTCCCGCTTTCGTATCCGCTTTCAACAAGGGTGGCACCTCCTATTCCTTCTATAATCTGCTCTAGCTCCCCCTTTCGATACATGTGGCAATACCGTTGAAATACTACCAGTCCCTTTCGTTCATCGTAGTCCGCCTTGGTGTATTGTTCACTGTACAATTCTGCTACACTTTTTTGTTCTTCCATAGCATCTGGTTTCTCCTCTGAAGCTTTTTTTCCTGATTCTGGTGGTTGGGAATCACTAGTAGTGTTGTTCTTGTTCTTGTTCCATTCCACCTTTTCCAAGTACTTTGGTTGGGCGTTGAATGGAACAAAGACATCTGGTGCAGCAAATCGCCTTCGACTATTCTGCTCTTGTTCCATTGCCCAAGCTTGTATGTTGATGGTTCCACCGGGCTGGACGATTCGAACCAGCTCTTCAATGCATCGAACCCGTCGTTCCGGAGTGCTTAAATGGTGCATGACAGCAATGCAAATGGCAGCATCAACACTGCTGGTTCGGAGTGGAACGTGCATGCAGTCCGCTACTGCAACGGCGGGTCTATCTCGTAGACCTTCTCGGTGTTCATTGACTTGTCGAGTCTCGGGAATGTTGGGATTTGGCTCGCTCGTGTTGGGCTTGGTGTGTTCTCCTGCTACTCCAAAGGCGGTTTCCAAAAGGGGTCTGGAAATGTCGGTTCCAATCACATAGGATCCAGCTTCCCAAACCGCTGGAAAGTATTTCCCATCCCCACATCCTACATCAGCCACGACAGATCCTCTGGGAAGACGTTGCAGAAATTGAGTAGCACCTGGCCAAAGGACTCCTCGTTTGCCTCGCGTGTGATGCCACTGAGTAGCAATCGCATCGTAGACGGCATGAACGTGGTCTCGCTCGGTAGCAGGAGTGGCCAACGCTGCTGTGGTTATAGCGTTGGAATTATCACCTTGGTCGTCACCACCGCTTTGACTGCCCCAAACAGGTGGAAACTTGTTTGATTCGACTAGTGGGAGAGGAGCTCCCTCCAGGGTCAATGCTGTTCTCAAAGTAAGACTGACCCGCAACTTTCGTGGCAAGACTTGACCATTGTGGCAATCCGTCCGTCGGGTGACAATCATGTGTTCCCATTCGTAGCGTGCAGGTCCTGACATGAGAACCGCGGATCGGGGTGGTAGGTAGACTAGCTTTTTGGTTGACGGCGAATCCACCTTGCGAAATTCCATGACAATCCCGCCATTCAAGGAAATACTAATCAATCCATCTCCAAACGCAGGGGGCGTGTCAACATGGGAGCCAATTCCTTCTCCTGGCTTGTAATAATTGATGGTTAGCTGATTCAAATTTGGATACGTGGTACCTGTACTTTTATTCGCATTGAATTGGCAGCGCCGCGTCTTTTCCACAACTCCCGCGAGTACTTCCCAACCCTTTCCAGTCTTGGCATCCTCTTCCAATCCATTCTCCGTCAATTCACCGTCCATGGTTGGCATTGGAGGGCAATCCGAGTGCCCTGGTTCGGTTCTGTCTCGCAACACATCAGCTGTTTTGTAGTCAAATACATATCCGTAATGCTGAACCTTTCGTTTGACATCCCCCGTTTGTGACATGTTTTGTTGGTTGGGTGCCCAGGGGGCTTGTGGACCAGTAAGAATCGCCATTAGGACCTCTTCTTGGGCTTGTGTCAGGTAATTTTCAATAACTTGCAATCCTGGTACTTCTATTGATGCAGTTGTGGAAGTACAGTCGGGTCGTGAGGCTTCCCCCCTTTCAGGTTCCACTCCATCGGCACGAGCCTTGGATTTCTTTACGGATCGTTGAGTAACGGAGACATAGTCGAGAAAGAGCGCATCACTTTGCAATCGTTGTCCATTGTACTCCCATACTACAGTTTGACCCTGTAATGCTTGCACAATCTTTTGGGCATCGGAAGCCGATCGCATTCCAATGTGAAGTGATCGAATGAGTTGATTTTGTTTCTTGTTCAAAAAGGTTTCGATCCCATCACCTGACGAATCATACCCTTTAAACTTTTGCCGAATGGCTTCTAGGACGGCATGTGGCTGCTTCCAAAATGATTCTTCTTCAGACCCATTTCCGTCTTTTTCATTGCTCTCGTCATTGTCGGCATCAATTACATTTGGGTCGACCAACCCAGTGATGTAAACATATCTAGTTTCCGACCTCTCCTTGGCATCATTGTGCTCGTGCAAAAGCCTTCGAAACTTTGGTGGATTGGATCGCGTCCAGGCGGAGGCCGACGACTGCGGCATTGGTATTTGGGTAATCATGGTAGCTTGTGTCGCATGCGAGCCAAAGGCTGAAGAGGACCAGTTGTTCTCGATATCATCGCAATCGCCCAAAGAAATGTTGGAAAATAACTGAGATGGAGTTATCTTGTACTTTCGCCACGCAATCATCACTTGATGTGCTTGTTCTGGTGACTGGTATTGGAGTCGGATTTTGGTGAATGGAGGTGATGGGTCCAGGACTTGAACCGCTTGTGCAGGGAACGGAATGTGTAGGGATTTGTAGTGCTGTTCCTGCGTAGAGAGAGAATTCACCAAAGCCTGCTCCAGCGACGTGGTTTCCTTCCAGTAGTAATCTTTGATGTTTTGTTTCTCGTCAGCACCGTCGTCCTTGCTCTTTTTCTTGTCTTGTTGCTTCTTTGGCTCAAAGCCACCTTGCAAGTGTAGAAAACCATTTTCTTCCGTTGGAAGCGGTTCGTGAGGCAAAACCGATCGAAACTTCTGCTTCTGCGAGGCACCACTCATTATCACCCTTTACACGGTGGCTGCTGTTTTCTGGGCAGTTGTTGACGAAGGTTGGGTTGTGGTTTCAAGTTTCCAAATTTGTTGGATGGATGTGTTCGATCGATCGATCGATCGATCGGGTCGACTGGTTGTGGACTGGACGGATCGGATAGATTGAGATTTGACCATACCGGTACCAAGATTCCAGATTCTAATTGTTTCTCTCATTCTCCAATTGTCAAACTCCCAACGTCCTCCGACCATCAAACTGTTTCTTCTGCATAATAATATGAGAGAATAAACAAAGAATAGAAACATGCATTCCTCCTTCCTGCGGCGAGCTGCTCGCAAAGCACCCCTCCGAGCACAGCTATCGAGAAGTCATCGTCTCGCTAATTCGGTGGAATCTTCGTCCCATCGCCATTCAGTTTCTTCCAATTCTTTCACCACGACTGCGTGTCCTTCCATTTCCGCAGCCAATACACATGGACCCCTGGTTCCCATTGCTCGAAGCTTTTCGGTATCCCCAGAGCTAATAGAAGATGACGAGAACGATGTCCCGTTTGATTCTTCTTTTGAATCCAAGGCAGAACCAGTGAGCCCATCCAAACCGATTCGATTCGAAGATTTAGACCTTCATCCAAAAACACTGAAAGCATTACGGCGGCAAGGGTTGCACAAGACAACTGAGATCCAGGAGAAAACCTTTGACGTGATCGTGTCTGGAAAAGATGTCGTAGGAAGGGCACGAACAGGAACTGGAAAGACTCTCTCTTTTCTCCTGCCATCCTTGGAAAGAATTGTTCGTCAACAAGCCAAACGCCCACTGCCAGGAATACAAATGTTGGTGCTCTCGCCAACGAGAGAATTGGCGGCCCAGATTGCCAAGCAAGCTGAAACAATATGTGAACATCATGATGCTAGTATAACATCACAGGTGATGTTTGGTGGGTCGTCCAAAGACGAGGACATTCGTCGCCTCAGTGCGAAAAGCCCCACTATCTTGGTGGCCACCCCTGGTCGTCTGAAGGATCATCTGGCCAAGACCAAACTACGAGGAGGCAACCCGTTCATCGACACACTTCAAAATTTGCAAGTTTTGGTCCTCGATGAAACAGACCGACTATTAGATATGGGATTTAGACAAGACATTCAAGACATTCTGTCTTGCTTACCACGCAAGCGACAAACCTTGTTGTTCTCGGCAACCTTGCCTCTTTCGGTTCGCTCCGTCATTGATGAGGCTACTGCCAACAGCAGCAACGGGGGATATGAATTGGTGGATTGTATCCAAGATGAAGATCCGGCATCCCACACCAATGCTCGTACCGAACAGCGCCACGTGGTTTTGCCAGCCCATCGTTTTTGGACCGGTTCTATGGAATTGCTTCTGGATTTGATGGAGGATAAGAAGGCAAAGATCATGGTATTCTTTCCCATGACAAGCCTGGTACAACTCTACTCAAACTTGTTTCAACTACGTTTTGGACGACGAGTATTGGAACTCCACGGACGTATGCACCAGCGAGAACGATCCACAATTAGTCGACGCTTTCGCAATGCCGCCAAAGGTGTTTTGTTTACAAGCGACGTCAGTGCTCGAGGTGTTGATTACCCAAATGTGACGCACGTGATTCAAATCGGTGCTGCCGGATCGCGAGAAACCTACATTCACCGTCTGGGAAGAACTGGAAGAGCCGGAAAGAAGGGACAGGGATTGCTTGTGTTGCCTGAGATCGAGGAACACTTTTTGCAAGATTTAGAGGGACTAGTCTTGCCACTGGACGGAAAACTTCAAAACCAATTGGACAAGGTGATGCCCTCCAAGCTTCTAATGGATGAGCTGGGGCCTGTTGCACAGGACGTTCGAGTTGGAAAGGATCGCAAGTTGGAACAATCCATCAAGGATGCCTATCAAGCCATGGTGGCATACTATTACCAGAGACTCGAAGATCGTAACGAAACTGTTGACTTTGTGGCAACGATCAATGCACTGGCACAGAATATGGGCTTGAGTGAACTTCCTCCCATTGATTCCTACCGAGCACGCAAAATTGGAATCGACGACATTCCAGGGCTGAATATTAGAGATAGTTGGAAAGATAAAGATTGGTCCAGCGGATGGGGAGAAGAGCCAGGTCGCCCAAAAAAGCCATTCGGAAAGCCCATTGGGGATTTTGAAGGGGCATTTGATAGGCCATCTGGACGAAAACAACACCACGAACGCACAAAAAGGATATGGGAAGCATCACCCAATGCAGGCCGCGGTCGGAGTCGGAATCGAGACGGTGGTGGCAGTCGTAGCTCGTCACGGTATGGCAACGATCGATCACAAGGCCCTCGTGCCGGATTTCGAAGTAACCGCGAGGAAAGCGAGCCACAATTTTTGAAGCTTGGATGGAAGCACGGTCTTGCTGACCCACCAAAAAATGAACGTAGCAACACTAGGAGGAAGAATAAAGCCTTTCAAAGGTGGGAATCTCCTGGGATGACACCAAAATAATGATAGCTTGATCATGTGCTTTATTTACTCTTAGCTTTTGTCACTGCGTGCTTTAGATGCTTTATGCTACTTCTTCAATATTTTGTCACCTTACATCACTTACGATTTCCGTGAACGTTTGACAGATTCATCAGCATTCTCATCTTCTTGACTACGCTTTTTCGCTTCTAGAGGTCCCTTGTGTAAGCTGAAGCATGAATCTGCGTTTGTATCCCAATGAATCCTGACGTTGCCTCCCCTGTTAGCTTGACTGCGAATCGTTTCAAGGGGCAAACTCATTCGTATTCTTTCCTGTGAGTCGCAGTCCCCCATCGGCCAAGTGAATTCCGTTGGCTTCTCTTCAATGGTCTTATTATCTTTGAGATCCATTACTTTTGTGCGGTTTGTTGAAATGGATGTTGTGGGTACCGAACCTTCTGGTTGAAATTCGAGACTTTTTCGTTCACTGACCTTCAACCCGCTAAGCTTGTCGACCATAGTATCAGGGAAAGGCTCCACATTGAAGGGTGTATAGTTCAACCATATATTGACGAGGAACGTAACACGGCGGTGCCTTCGTTTCAAGAGCTTCTGCTCTTTCGGATCTTTGCTATCCTCGAAATGAATTTGTTTCTCAAACTCACCTGGTTGCATGAGGGCTGGAAGTGCCGCGTGTAGATACCTGTACATCATTGATCAGAAAAGCGAAATAATCATAGCCTACTACGAAGGCAATCCATCGCTATTCTTACCTTCCGTCGAAGCTCATGTGTTTGCCCTGTGTAGGCCAACTCACAAGGCCTTCTACTTGTTTCTCCTCAGAGCCCTCTTCCCCAGGCACCATCCATTCGCCTGAAAGGGGATTAATTCTACTATTGGCAATTAGTGTTGGACTTCCTAACCCAGTCATGTAAGTTACTGTCGATATGTGAGGGTGTAAATAGAGATTCCCTCCGGCCATCAGCCTCAGATCCTCATCTTTATCCCAGTGAAATGAAATTCCCGTTTTCGAAATATCATCTGGTTTGTCGTCATGCATTGTGTACCGACCAGCTTCTGGGGAAGGTCGAAGCTGACACCACCTAAAAAAACGATGCATTTTCTATCTGTGAGGACGCCAATCTTGCCTTGGAAGATACAGGAATTCGCATTTGAGATCTACCATTCAGCTCCTGATTTGCTTTTGTCGTAGTCAAGATTTGCAGGGACATGGTGATGAAAAACGTCCAATGCAAACTGCTCCAAACTGCAACGGGGTTTCATTCCTTCCGCAGGTACCCAAAATGTCCTAGGCATCAAACCTGAATCAGAAATCTCGCAATCAAACAAGAGATCGTCCAGTATTGATGAAGGTAGTTGGCCAATGTTGGTCATAACTGCCCTTGAGCTGTAGTCCATAGAAATAGATTTCTCCCCTTCTTTCCTTGGATCATTCTCGTTCTGCGATGTGTTTGCCGTTCGCCCATCGGCATCAAAGCGAAAGTTGAGTTCGATCTCCATGGCCACAAATAAAGTGGAGGTTGTTGATGAAATTAGTTAACCTCCGGGTCTTGGAGTATCCTTTGGACCCATTCGATCAAAGGAGAACACTGACTGCTGTGGAAGACTACAATACAGCACTGCAGATATTCCATGCTACATAAAACTGTACCTATTAGTAATCATTGATAACCCATCAAAATTTAAGCTTCTTCTCCTTCTCCGGCAGGAAAGAAAGCTTGAAACATGTAGAAGAGAACAAAAATGGCCGCCAGTCCACCGGCGAAAAGAGTATTGGTTTCCCAACGAAAGGCAGATTCATATGCCTGAACATCGGCTTTTGCTACTTGTTCACCTCGATTAGCGAGAGTGAAATACGCGGAAGCCCCAGTCAAGGCACCATAAGCAACATTGAGGACTCGAGAGCCAAGGGTCCCCAAGGAACCAGATGCTACCGCCTCTGCCTGCAAAATTGAAATCGGCGTCAAAAGAAATGCTATCGAAATGCCATATTGGGCTCTCAAAACCTTTGTTGATACAATATACGTAAGCAATATTTGTTAGAGCTTGCTAGCATACTAGCCTCCTTCATTCGTTTCGTGCGACTATATCAATCGGGCACTTACCTTTGAACAGAGAGTCTCGCCAACATCAACAGGAGCAATGGGAGAAACCGGACTGAAGGCAAAAGACGCACCCACAAGCAATGCAGAGAAGAATCCTAGCCGATAAAAGCTTTCGACGAGGCTACCAGAAGATATACGGCTTGCGTCCAAAACGCTAGCGAAGTCTTCCAAAGATGACGGAACAATGTCTTCAAAAGTAGGCTCGTCTTTTTCTTCTTGGAATCTTGCAAACAAAGCAGCAATAGTCAATGCCTCCAAACCCAGATAGATTGGCAACATTGGTCCGCCCTCGTATCCGTTGGCAATGCCCAAAGCAAACACTGCTAACCCTGCAACATGTTTGATGGAAGCACCCATCCAGAGTCGGCGCATATTTTCGGAACTCAAAATTGCTGTGGATGCGAGCAATAGCAAAACAGAAACATCTACAAATTCCAAGTAGGAAGATGTCGCAACGTAGGCACCGGAAAAATCCAGATCAAAATCATCCACCCCGATTGATGGGTCACGAGCGAAACCGAAAACCGACTCGCAAACTCCAGCAGTATTCACACCAGTCTCCAAGCCTGCCGCTGCCCATCCAATGGCAGAGGCACGAAGTGAGTTCGACACTAAAGGCGAGAGAGCTTTGGTGGTCGTTTCAATAGGTGAAAGGCGCATGTTCGCTACAAAGTCAATAAAGTTGATATGAGAATGACGACGTTGAAGAGAAAAAATGAGGTGGCAAATTTCCGATTCTTCATTCCTCCAATGAAACAGAAATCTCTGTCTTGTCCGTCCCGCACGTCAGGCGGGTGTGAGAGTCAAAGCGGGTCTCTCAAGTTCCCGCTGATTGATGACGCTTTTGATTGGAAGATTAAAAAAAGCGAGCATCTTATCAATCAACCCACCGAAGTCACATGACAGAAGTCACTGAGTTCATGTATTATAACACCCGGGAGGAGAATGCCAGCAATCAAACACCTCCTCTTCTGTATCCTGATCCCATGCTCGGTATTTGCCTTTTCAAATCGGGGATATCCTATACGGCCATTCAAGCTCTCTCCTCCTCAAACCAAGAATTTCAATCAAATCAATAATTTTAGCCTGACAACGGCAACGCAAAAGTCCCTGACGTTTGTTGTAAGGTCCAGTGCTGATGATAGCCAGGAGGAATCGAGTTCCAGTGTTGATGATGGTCAGGAGGAACAGACATCGCAGGGAACAGATATTGTGAATCGATTTATCACAAGCTTTTGGTTCGCAATTGCTGCACCCTACACAGATCTTCGGAGGCTGCTTCCGAAACGAGAACGAGATCCCCAAAAGATGACGCTCTCGCTCACAGTCAAAGATGGAGTCTTTGCTGTCATAGCATATCTTGCGATCGGAGTCTTTGCTTACCACAAAATATTTGAAAAGTGGTCCATCGTCGACTCCCTCTACTTTACATGTGTTGTATTTTCCACCGTAGGCTACGGTGACGTATGTCCTCAAACGATTGGTGGCAGGATCTTTACCTGCTTCTTTGGTTTTACTGGGATCGCCTTGCTCGGAGCTGCAATTGCATCTATTGGATCGAAACTGGTCCAAGTGGAGACAGAAACGGCTAGACGAGCAGAAAGAGAGAGTCGAAAGCGGTTTGTGAACATGTTTGACAAGCTTCCAAAGTTGGTGAAAGCAGACAAGGAAGAGAAAGCAAGGATCATGAGTGATGTCCATGCAAAAAATCGTCATGCTCCCCATCTTCCAAAAGCTGCTGTTGCACTTCTCAAAGGCGCGCGATGGATAGCGCAATCACTAATGGTGGTTGTTCTGGGAGGTATGCTGTTAGGAAAAGTTGAAGGATGGAAGATGGCCGATGCAGTGTACTATGCTCTGATAACTGCATCCACGATTGGGTTGGGCGACTTTGCGCCAGCTACCAAAACTGGTCGCATTATAGCTCTTCTTTTAATCCCGATGAGTGTGGCGGCATTCGGAGAGATCCTCTCAAACATTGGGCTGGCTTGGATTTCCAGTCGACAGAAGCAGCTGTTTGATTCACAGCTGAAAACGGGACTGACAATGGACCACCTTAAAGTAATGGATAACAACCAAGACGGGAAGGTGGACCGCGAAGAATACGTCCTCTTTATGTTATTGGAAATGGGACTCGTCAGCAAGGAAGAGGTAGCGGAATTGACCGATCAGTTTGATCGACTGGACCGAACGGGAACTGGCTACTTGAATCAGTATGATATCATGCTCGTGTCAAGACTGCGAGAGAAACATGACCACTAGGGG